GATAAAGAAGTACCAAAGAAGAGTTTTGAAGTATAATGCTATAAATGAGTATATAAATTCTAAGTTCAAAGACCCTAATGAGGAAATGCAGAGAATATTAGAGAAGAAACACTTCAGAAACAAACAGAAAGAGATAGAATACATTTCGAAGAAATTGCAATCTTACGATTGGAAGACTTACCCTCATAGGTGTCTTCTTATCTTAGATGACTTTGCATCTCATCCTTTGTTAAAGAACAGAGAACAAGATATGTGTCGAATTCTTAAGAAGCTCAGACACTTTAACATCTCTGTTGTCATTTGTGTACAGACAGCAAAGAGTTTAAGTAAGGATGTAAAGAGAATACTTACTGACATTATACTTTTCCCTGGATTGTCAGAAGACGATTTCATGGAACTTATGAAAGAGTCCATGGCAGGTAAGTTTGACAGACATGAACTATGGGAGAAGTACAAAGTCATACAAGACCCTCATACTTCTTTCAGAATTCATATCTACGCAAACAAAGTTCAAATTGTAAAAAGTCAAGCTTGAAAAATAAAGAGTGCATCTACCCTGCTTGTTTGAAGTTGTCAAAATACTCTGTTATTTTTTCCTTTAACAATGGCAAATCTTCTTTGAAGGTAAGTATTGTACAACCTTTCATATCATAGTGTGTTTGAGGTAACGTATCTTGAACTATTTGTTTCACATCTTCATTTGGGGTCATTGAAATCGGTAAGTTTTCGCGATAGAACCAATTTCTGTCAGATTTGTAAATCTTAGCAAGGTCGTAAAAGCTTTTGTTGTTTCTTCTGACTAAATGCAACATAACCATATCTCTGTCTTCTTCATTTTCCATCTCTTCAGTATAAATCATATACTTATAGTTCTTTTCCTTTCCTTTTGGTACCGAACGTGGTATTCTTTTCTGTATGCTTTTATCTTTTGCTTCAATGACTTCATCTTTTGCTTGAAGTTTCTTTTCCATCTCTTCACGTTCTTGTCTATGAATTTCATCTAACATCATGAAAATATAACAAGCATAGCGAGGTGAAGCCCACATTGCAACAGCATTTACAAGAAGTCTATGTACATACCAACCTCTCAAACCAGGAGCCAAATTCGTGCGATTTTCGTACGGAATCTCTACCCTCGGTTTTCCGAGGGTAGCAAACATATGAGGAAATTCTTCTAAAAGTTCTTTTGTCTGTTGGTTTTCAAACCAATGATATGCTTGCTTTGTAGAACGAAGAGCATTCAAAATACTTTGCATTTGGTACATATCGTCTTTGACCGAACGAATGAGACGTAACTGTTTGTTATATTGTATGTACTCATATTCTTCACTTATAGCTTCATGGACTATAACTGTTGTTGTGTTCTCTGTTGTTGACATATCTGTCTTTATATACAAAATAAAAAAATAAATAAAAATAAAACTAACTTTATTTTTTCTATCTTGTATAAAAGACCAAAAATAAACGCTTTACATGTATTTTTCAGCAACTTCGTCAAATAATTTTATAGCTTTATCTATCTCATCTACTTCAAACGTTTCCCTACCTTTCGTGGGAGCACCATACATCTTCTCAAACTTTTCAAGTAGTTCTGTTTCAGCAGCTCTCATATCGTTAACAAACACAACCCTGACTCTATTGACTGTATTGTCATATCTTAGAGTTATATTATATGTCCTTCCTATCTTATATCTTTTTGTATTGAAGTCCTTCGGTTTCTGAACGATGTAAAGTAAGCCTTCACTGCAACGTTCTGAGTCGAATAAACCATATGTTATGAAGTTATATCCAACAACTGGGTCTAACCATAACAAAACTATTGGTATAAGACTTTTGTCGATGAGATATGCTGTAGTTCCATAGAATCTTACCGATATCATAAGCTCAGGATTTCTTGTCAAAATTTTCTGAGTTGAAGCATTTCTAACCCAGTCGTGTGGTTTCTTTCCAGATAGTGTTAGAATGTCTGACAAAGAATATTTGTTGTATTTCTTTGAGTATCTTATGTTTAAATCACCTATTCTAACCACCTTGGTGTCATTGTCTATCTTTCTAACTGTTTCAAACTCATTGTTTGACATTTTCTGTTCTTACATACAAAATAAAAAATTTTCTTAGAAAAAATTAGCGTTATTTTTCTATCTTGTATAAAAGATGTGATTTCAGGGATTTTTTTTACGAAGTGTAAAAGTTCTCTTCGTCAAAAAAATACAGTTATATAATGAAATTTGGTCATTTTGTCACGATTTCATAGAGTTTTTTTACGAAGTGTAAAAGTTCTCTTCGTCAAAAAAATACAGTTATATCATGAAATTTGGTCATTTTGTCACGATTTCAATAAAAATATAATTTAGGTGAAGAGGTGACATCTCACCTCTTTTTTCACCTAATTTTTCACCTCATGAATTTTCATGATTTCATCGTACATGTTTTGTCAAGACTTCATCGTACATGTTTTGCTTCGTAAATGTTTTGTCAAGACTTCTTCGTAATGAGCGTAAATCAGACAAAAATAATGTTTAGGTGAAGAGGTGACATCTCACCTCTTTTTTCACCTAATTTTTCACCTCATGAATTTTCATGATTTCATCGTACATGTTTTGTCAAGACTTCATCGTACATGTTTTGCTTCGTAAATGTTTTGTCAAGACTTCTTCGTAATGAGCGTAAATCAGACAAAAATATATTTTAGGTGAAGAGGTGACATCTCACCTCTTTTTTCACCTAATTTTTCACCTCATGAATTTTCATGATTTCATCGTACATGTTTTGTCAAGACTTCATCGTACATGAATTTTCATGATTTCATCGTACATGTTTTGTCAAGACTTCTTCGTAATGAGCGTAAATCAGACAAAAATAATGTTTAGGTGAAGAGGTGAGATGTCACCCGTTTTCTCACCTCTTTTTTCACCTCAGTTATTTTATAAGCGTTTTACATGAATTGTACGATGTATATTTGAAATCCTAAACAATTTCGTAGCTTCTATTTCTTCTTTTAGTATGTCAAATGTTTTAACGATACCGAAAGTTTCTTTATACTTCTTCTTGACGTCAGATAGAAGGAAATCGTCTGCTGTTGGATAGTTTTTGTTCAGAAATGCTAACATGTCCATTTTATTTTCTGCTGGCTTTTCTGCTTCTTTCTTTAAATCTGCATAGTCGTTTCTCATTCTTTCTATCTCTTTGACGGAGTAGTTATATTTCCTAATTGCTGCTTTACATTTAGAACATTGCGGGTTCATTTTTGCGTTATATTCTGAAACCTTACCTGCTAAAACAACCAAGGCGTCAATGGTTTTCTTTAAATCTGAAGCAGTTGGTCTTATCTGTTCGTTCCATATTTTACCCCTTCTATCTTTATCTCTTATCTGCCATACACATTTTGCAGCTAATGAAACAAAGTTGTCGTAGGTCTTAAACTCCCCAGATTTATATATGTCAGAGATGTTCTTATATACCATATCGCAGTCTTTGTCCATGACTTTGTGGTTGCAATGAAAACCAAGAAACTCATAGTTAACCTTACGTATGAACTTCTTTATTTCTACTGAGTCAGTTGGTTTGACTTCAATTTCTTCAAATTCTGGAATAGTGAGCTTTTGTTGTTGTATTTCAGGAAGTTTAGGTAGATGGTCAATAATATCCTGCATTTCATAAAGATATTGTTCATTTGTTTCATCCTGTGCAGTGCAATCTAAATCTCCTTGGAGAAGTTCTTGCTTTATCTTCTGGATTTCTGTTTCGAAAGTATATGAAGAAGGAATGAAGCTTTTCATTTCTACTAACATTGAAGTTGGGTTCATGACTAACGAGTTTGGTGCTGTTGTTGTTTGAATTGCTGTTGTGCCGATTGTTGACATTTCTGTTCTTACATACAAAATAAAAAAATAAATAAAAATAAAACTAACTTTATTTTTTCTATCTTAAGGAAATTCATGAAAATTCATGAAAATTCATGAGGTGAGAAAACAGGTGAAAAAAGAGGTGAGATGTCACCTCTTCACCTAAACATTATTTTTTGGTCATTTACGCTCATTACGAAGAAGTTTCGACAAAACATATACGAAGAAGTTTTGACAAAACATTTACGAAGAAGTCTTGACAAAACATATACGAAGAAATCTTGACAAAACATATACGAAGAAGTTTTGACAAAACATTTACGATGAAGTCTTGACAAAACATTTACGAAGAAGTTTTGACAAAACATTTACGATGAAATCATGAGGTGAGAAAACAGGTGAAAAAAGAGGTGAGATGTCACCTCTTCACCTAAACATTATTTTTTGGTCATTTACGCTCATTACGAAGAAGTTTCGACAAAACATATACGAAGAAGTTTTGACAAAACATTTACGAAGAAGTCTTGACAAAACATATACGAAGAAATCTTGACAAAACATTTACGATGAAGTCTTGACAAAACATTTACGAAGAAGTTTTGACAAAACATTTACGATGAAATCATGAGGTGAGAAAACAGGTGAAAAAAGAGGTGAGATGTCACCTCTTCACCTAAACATTATTTTTTGGTCATTTACGCTCATTACGAAGAAGTTTCGACAAAACATATACGAAGAAGTTTTGACAAAACATTTACGAAGAAGTCTTGACAAAACATATATGAAGAAATCTTGACAAAACATTTACGATGAAGTCTTGACAAAACATTTACGAAGAAGTTTTGACAAAACATTTACGATGAAATCATGAGGTGAGAAAACAGGTGAAAAAAGAGGTGAGATGTCACCTCTTCACCTAAACATTATTTTTTGGTCATTTACGCTCATTACGAAGAAGTTTCGACAAAACATATACGAAGAAGTTTTGACAAAACATTTACGAAGAAGTCTTGACAAAACATATACGAAGAAATCTTGACAAAACATTTACGATGAAGTCTTGACAAAACATTTACGAAGAAGTTTTGACAAAACATTTACGATGAAATCATGAGGTGAGAAAACAGGTGAAAAAAGAGGTGAGATGTCACCTCTTCACCTAAACATTATTTTTACTGAATTTAGCAACAACTTTCTCTCAATTGGAGCTGTGGCATACTCTTTGCGTAAGCGGTTCAGACCTTCTTCGAACTCTTGGTCTCTCTTCGATTTGGATTGAGATTGAAATTGGTAGTAACCTTGTAGTGGAAATTGGTAGTAATTTGGAAATTGGTAGTAATTCGGAGGTACTTGTTGGAACTGAGGTACTTGTTGGAACTGAGGTTGCTGAGGTGCAGGGGCTGGTGCTTTCGGTTCTTCTGGTTTGGGAATGGGCTCGGTTGGTGGTACGTCGGACATTGTCTTGAAACAATAAAAGACTTGTCTTGAAACAATAAAAGACTTGTCTTGAAACAATAAAAGACTTGTCTTGAAAAAGTAAAAGACTTGTCTTGAAAAAGTAAAAGACTTGTCTTGAAAAAGTAAAAGACTTGTCTTGAAAAAGTAAAAGACTTGTCTTGAAAAAGTAAAAGACTTGTCTTGAAAAAGTACGGGTATCGTCTGAAATCAAGACCACTGTTCTCAAATTTGAGAACTTTACACCAAAAAATTTCTTGAAAAATAACGGGTCTTGTCTTGAAAAAGTAAAAGACTTGTCTTGAAAAAGTAAAAGACTTGTCTTGAAAAAGTAAAAGACTTGTCTTGAAAAAGTAAAAGACTTGTCTTGAAAAAGTAAAAGACTTGTCTTGAAAAAGTAAAAGACTCGTCTTGAAACAATGACCGACATAGACCCAGCAGATGAGGCAATCTACCTTATAGAGATAAATGAGCTAGTTAGGAACTACCTGAGCCATCTGAAGTCAAACAAGACCATTGCAGGCTGGGTGTCTGGAAGAAGTGCGCTTAAAATTGAAATTGACACTGGAATTCCAATTCAAATACCAGACGGGACAGCCTACGACGACATAAAGCAAGCAAAGAAAGAAGCTCTTCTCAAGTTCTTTGCCAAGCGTCCTTGGATACAACTTCCAAACAGAGAGAACCCTTTCCCAAGAATGAACCAAATTCTCAAGGGTCTCCTTCACTTCTCGGGTCAGCCGTTCTACATAACCTCAGAAGGCGACATCCAACCAGTTCAGTAAACATCTCATTTTAACTCACTTTTTTATGTTTTTTGTGAAAGTGTCAAAAATAAATTGTTTTCATGAGTTTTCTACGATGTTAGAAAAAATGTTATTTTCTAATATCTTCACATTCAATACTTTTTCAGCACTTTTCCGTAGTTATATATGAAAGACAATTCGAGATAAAAGTCATAGTACAATGGAATAATATGTTGCACACCGTTTGTTGTGAACCAAACTTGAAAGTCAGAGAAACTGTTACTAGGTGGTTCGTAGAATTTAGAAGCAAAGTCATAACGGTCCTTACCAATACATAGAAAACTATTGTTGCTTGAACTGAAACTTGCATGACACATAACATTTTGAGGGTCAAACACGTTTCTATAAACTGTCAAATCTGCTGGTGGAAGTATAAATTTAAATGGTCCATCTGGTGGTAATGGTTCGTTCTGGTTTAGTAACCGAAGAAATTGTGCCCAAGAACGTTTGTCTACTTCCCAAAATAAAAACTCTGTATCTCTTGGAGGGTTAATTTCAATCTTTTGAAATGAAACGGTGGAGTTCATCTTGTCATATTCTAGTTTCAGATAGTATGTTCCATTTAGTAAAGAGTCGTATTTTTCTTGAAATTCCCAATAATATTTGTTCATTTGAGTTTGAAAGTCATTTAGAGTTTTCTCAAGACTTTCGTCTGAACGAACTGTAAAGATTCTCATTTCGTCAAATCTGTCTATTAGACCATCAGGACCTTTATACTGCCCATGAAAATCTACTGTGAACATAAATGCGTTAGTTCTATTTGAAAACAAAACTCTTCTAAATCCTATTGCCTTTGCATCTGAAGGACTTTGAAGCCAACGAATTGGATAGTCAAACTTGTATGCTCGGGATGAAATTTCTTCATCTGATATATTCCTACCAGCATTTGTAAAGATATAGTCTAACGGTTTTGTATCTGCTACTTTTGTTCTTTGTTTTTCAACCTGAAGCATTTAATATATGTAAAAATATACTGTTTTCTTTTACTTTACATAACCTCCTGCTGCCATAAGTCTTTGACGCCAACCCATACCAGCTAATGAAGGTTGACTTTTTTTAGTTTCCAAACTAAACTTTGGTTTTGGTTTATCTTCAGTTTTTGGCTCACCTTCTTCTATCGGTTTTTCGTCACTTTTCGGTTCCGCTGGTTTTACCCCACCTGCAGGTATGGTTGTGTCGTCAACATCTTCATAAATATCATATGCCATTTGTTTTTGTTTTCCTTTCAACTTTTTGTGTTTGTTGTAAAGTTTAGAATATTTCGACTCTAAGTCAATGAGATGTTCTATAATGAACTGTTGGTCAGTGAAGTAAACTTTTCCATCTGTTGTCTCGAAAGCTCCTCCAGACTTCAATATTTTATTTGTGAGAGTCTGTTTCTTTTTTGAGATACTAGCCGTTCCATTTCTATGAAAAGTGACTTTATAGTTAGGGTTTGTATTTCCAGACCTGGCACTTTCTATTATTGAATTTTTCTCTTCATCTGTAAGTTCTTTGACAGGTTTTGACAATGGTTCTGAACTTTTTGTTTGTGGTGTCAAATCTACCGTTTCAACTTCTTCGGTCATTTCATCTCAGTAAAAAATTTTAGTTTGGTTTGTTTTCAACTGGTTGTTGTTGTTTTTTAAGTCGGTCTAAAACTTCCTGAGGTATAGGAAGAACTTGACAAACACGTGGTGTAACTGCTGGAAGTCGACAAATCCATCTTGAACCCATTTGTCTCAATGCTGTATTGTTCATTTCATCTCAATAAAAAACCTTACATTCCCCACGTTTGAGGCGGTTGCGGTTGGTTATTGTTTACCCATTGTTGTGCATGGTTATATCCTCTGTTAAAGAATCTTTCACCTTGGTCCATATAGTGTCCTGCTTGGTTATAGTAGTCATTTGCTTTGTTATAATAGTTTCCTGCTTGTCTTCCTACATTGTCCATCCATCCTTGAACTTTTCCTCTTGTTTCAGGATTTGGAATAAGATTTGTTGCATCTCGTGCTACATCCCAACCTTTCTGTACAGTTTGTATAATAGGTTGTGCCTTCTCTTTAAGTATACCTAATGTACTCAAAATCTTCCTTCCAACTCCAAATACACCTCTGGCTATTGTTCCCACTGCGGGTAAAAATCTAGATGCGACTCCTGCTAATGCGCCAAATAAACCCATTTCTTATGGGTTAAAAATGACGAATTCAAACAAGGACCCGTATGTTTCTAAAGCAACAAAGAAAGCACTCATGGTAAAAATCTTTAGTTCAACACCAAATGCTTGGTTTATGGATATCTTGGAAAACATTCCGAGGTATAGAGAAGATGGACCACCATACTGGCTAATATTTGTTGGTCAAAACACAAGATACTGTGAAGCCATACCATTACAGTCCAAAAATATTTTAGATGTGAAAACTGCTTTGACAATATTCGTTGACAAATACCATCCAACAAAACTGACATCTGACTATGAAAGTTCTTTCAAATCAGACGATATTAAAAACTATCTGCGTTCAAAAAATGTAAACCAATATTTCATTGTCGACCAAAACCATTCTGCTCTTGGTGTCATTGACAGTTGTATAAAAATCTTAAGAGACTTAAACCAACCACAAGGTGGTGAGGTAGATGAAATGTCATATGACGACAAATATAGACACTTCTCCCAGGCAAAGATGAGACAAGTTTTAAATATTTACAATAACCGTAAACAAAAAGGTTTGGGAAACCACTCCCCCGAAGAAATGAAAAACAACCCTAACTTAGAGAAAGACTTTATATTTAACAATTTAGTCAAAAGAGACAAACAAGAAAGAATGCCAGGCTTCAAACTTCGGAAGGGTGACAAAGTAAAAATAGAAATACCTAAACGCGACCCATATGAAAATACTATTGACTATGACAACAACAAGTACCCGACAGGTACTCACATTCGTGTTCGTAAAAATAGAAGAAAGTATACAAGAGAATATTATGAAGTTTTAGGCAAACATGGCAAAATGTACACACTGCAAGCAGAAGATAAAACTACTATTGTCAGACCTCGTTTCAAACTTGTCAAAGTTCAAGGTGGTATACTTTCAAAGACAGTTCCTAACAAATATAAGACAACTCCTGACGAATATGCTAAAGAAGTTGAAAATGACGACTAAGCATTTCTATACCATGCGTAAACTGTCATGTAAGGTGGCATGTAGTCTTTACTTTGTCCCGTTGTTTGCGTATACCCTGAAACGAAATGTGTATGGTTTCCTCCTACCTCAGTGTTACTCAGGAAACAATTTATAGCAAACTGAACGTTGTCTTTAACATCATATCCTTTACCTTTTGTCATTCCTGTCCAATCCCAATATTTATGCCTATGCCCACCTTCTTGAGATGTAGTTAAACTTACGTAGTGACTGTGCGCAGGTAAATTTGCACCTGAAATCGTTTTACTTCCACCTGTTTCCTTTGAAGAGTTTGCACAATACAAAAACCTGTCGACTATTTGAGTCCAAGTTCCAAAACCAAGTACTACTTCTGGTCTGGTAGAGTTCATTGACGTATAAATAGAACCTATAGGATATACTGTTTGAAGTATTTCTGTCTTTAATGTTTGAAGCTCTGTTTTGTCTGCTTTTTTATCTAACATTGTTGGTAGTTCATATGCTTCAAAGTTTCTGGCATGCTCTTCGATATTCCTGCAACTGTTATCTAAATTGTTAAGAGTATCTTTTACGCTTGTACTCGGATTCTCTGAAGGTGCACTTGAACCAAGGTCAAAGTTCAATACTATGTCGTCTGCTGTAAAAGTTGTAAAACTTGTATGTGTATGTCCAACGTCACTTTTCCTGTTTAAGGTTTCTTGTAAGTTTGTAATATTTGCAATGGTATGTGTATGAGTCTTTTTAGAATATTCGTTTTCAGCTCTTGTCACTTCACTTGACATTTTATTGTCAACATATGTTTTGTCAGCTTTCTTTTCAACATCCTCTTTCGTTGCATATGTTGCATCTGCTCTGTCATGTTCTTCTTGAACTTTTTCAATGACATATTCTTTGTCAGCTTTGTTGTCAACATCTGCCTTTAAAAGAAGTTCATTTATAGGTTTCTCGTTTAAAGTTCCTTTTGTTGGATTTATACAGACAGTATGGTTCTTATTGTCTTGAAACAGAAACTCATCTGTCATTGGGTTTAATGTCAGTTTTAAGTTTCCTTCTTTCAATGACTCAGATATCTTAGAATAGTTTGAAAAGTTTGTTGTGTTCTTATTTAGAGCTTGTATAATGAGTTGTCGGTTGTGTTGTATTTCTCTCATGGAAGCAATATCTTTCGACATTTTTATTCTAGATAAAATATGCTTCCAATAGAAAAAGAAAATTCAAGAGTTGCTACAACTAAACCATTAGATGAACTTTTTACTAATGTCGGTCAAAAGTTTGAGACAGATACCGTAAAGCATGAAGGCTATCGTTTTGACTACCCATTAAGATGGTTAAGAGACCCATCCGTCACAAAAGCTATTGGCTTTCGTAGAATGAAGTTCATTTCAGAAGCCATACATGGTTTCCCATTTACGGTCGGTTTTGAAGTTCGATACTATAACAAAGAAAAACGTATGTATGAGAAATTTGAACAGGGAAAACTTTTACAAGTGAATTTGCTTGTAAACTTAGAAACAACTCTTCAAGCTTTTCAAGAAAAAATAAACGATATCTATCTCGAATATGCAAAACAGTATAACATTGACGAAGGAGAGTACCATCTCGATATTATATATGACAGGAAAAATGCAACTGTTAAAATCAATAGAATAGAAGACCTTGGAGAAAACGTTTATATTTCTACAAAATATAACAACTTGGCATGGTATAGATTTTTGAGGATGTTAAATCAGCCTGCAGCATATCCAGTACACCCGAACTTTTATGAAGTCGAAAACCCTAATGGAACATATGAAAATGTTTTCGACCCAGATGCTATTATAGTTCATGCTTCATTTTCTGGTGCACAAAACTCTTTCTTATGTCTGATGAATGACTTTTACGAAAAACCTACAAAGTTATATGAACCGCCGAGTGGAAGTATTTCAGACTTTCAAGTATGGTTTACTACAGATGGAAGAAAGAGAATAATTCCATTATACCATGCGTTTTACTTAGAACTTAGTTTCATATACAACTACTATCGAACGGTAAAAATATAATTTTTAATACGGTTGAGGTGTTGGATTTGGTTGCCAACTAGACTGTGGTGCAGGTTCAGGCTGTTGTATAACAGGAGCTTGTTCTTCTGGTTCAGGGTCTTTAGGTATAATACCAACGAACTGACCTACTCTTTTACCAATATTTTTGACACCGTTCCAAATTCCTCTTCCGACAGATTTTATTCCATTCCATATACCTCTTCCAACTCTTCTGAAGAAGTTTCCAATACTACTGAAGAAACCCATTTTACTATATGTAAAAATCTAATGTTCGCCTAGTCTCTTACGTTTCCTGTTGAGTTCCATAGCATTCTTTAACTGGAGCTCATACATTCTGTTTCTCCTCTGGTAGAAAACATATTCTGGGTCAACTCCTGTGTTCGCGTCATCTGCATAAAGTTGTTTATATCCCACTTCAGGGTTTGTATAAAACTCTTTCCATCTCATATTTGCATACCATGGTGGCAAACCTAACGCAGCGTCATTTGACATGGCAGTTTGCATTTGTACATCTGTTGGCACTTGACCATAGTTTGCCATTGCAGTTTGTATTCTAACTTCATTTGGAATATTCTCTGGGTTTGGTTGTCCAGGTTGCTGTGCATTCGCTAAGTTCTGTGCGTCCATTTAATATTAGATAAAAATATCTCTTACGAGTACATATACTGAACATTTGCAGGCATTGGTTCATCTTCATATTCTCTGTACTTTTCTGCCACGTCAAATAAATAAATGACACAATGGAAAAAACCTAAAACAAGTAGTCCTATTTCAAACCACATTTACTTACTAATAAAATTTCTTTATTGTGACACTTTCTCCAGTTTATAGGACCTCTCTCATATTCTATCTTGTCATATATAAACTCATAGTCATGTATGTCCTCTAACCATCTCATAACGGTTTCCAAACCACTTTTATCGGATGTAAAGTAAAAGCATGGATGGTTATGTATAACGTCTAAAGTTTCTAAAGAGTCTCTCAAAGTCCAGTCTACTTGGTATTGAAAATCCCATGTGTTATAGAACGGCGGGTCCACTATAAAGAAAACATTTTCCTTGTCTTTATATTTTTCATACAACTCTGTCCAATGACATCTCACAAACTCTATCCCCTCAATATATTTTTCTATGTTCTCTTTGAAAACATTTGTATAGTTAAGATATAAAACTTTTGACATAAGTGTTTCAATGTCATGAACTCTTATAGAACCACTATATAATAGTCTAGCAGATATACTATCCCAGTCTATATATTCTGCTTTTTTCAAAACCTCTCTCACAATATTTTTCTTATCTAATGGTATACGTTCCATCTTACCTATAGGTATCTTTTCTTTTAACTCTTTCAATATATTGTTTGTGTCTGGAATATGTTTGAGACGGTCCATATAGTTGTCGAAGTCATTGCATATAATCTTTGAGTCTGGAAATATTATATGGCACAAATGGGATATATAGAAACTTCCACCGAACAAATCTACAAATGTTAGACCATTCGGTAGTTTCTTAAGTTGTCTCAATATAATATCTTTACATCTACTCTTATTTCCAAAGAATGGTAACGGTGGTTTTGTAAAATTCATTTATATATAATAATAAAAATGTTTTTACCCGAAAAGTGACAGAAAAGTGACAAAACATTTACGATGAAGAAGTTTCGACAAAGCATTTACGATGAAATCATGAAAATTCAAGAGGTGAGAAAACAGGTGAGAAAACGGGTGACATCTCACCTCTTCACCTAAATTATATTTTTGGGTCATTTACGCTCATTACGAAGAAGTCTTGACAAAACATATACGAAGAAGTCTTGACAAAACATTTACGAAGAAATCATGAAAATTCATGAGGTGAGAAAACAGGTGAGAAAAGAGGTGACATCTCACCTCTTCACCTAAATTATATTTTTGGGTCATTTACGCTCATTACGAAGAAGTCTTGACAAAACATTTACGAAGAAGTCTTGACAAAACATTTACGATGAAGAAGTCTTGACAAAACATTTACGAAGAAGTCTTGACAAAGCATGTACGATGAAATCATGACAAAACATTTACGTTCATGTTTGACAAAACATGTACGATGAAGTCATGACAAAACATTTACGATGAAGAAATCATGACAAAACATTTACGATGAAGTCATGACAAAGCATGTACGATGAAATCATGACAAAACATTTACGAAGAAGTCATGACAAAACATTTACGAAGAAGTCATGACAAAGCATGTACGATGAAATCATGACAAAACATGAAAACATATATAATTTGTGAAAAGCGACACATTATATAATGTTTTCGACCCAGAAGACTAACAATTTTCCGAATAAAAACTTCATTTATACTAAACATCTTCAGGGCTAGAAGGCACGAAGTGCCTGGAAGCCCCACTACCTTTTTTTTTTTTTTTTAATTAAAAAAAATAATCATTATAAGTCAAAAACTAATTTCTATTCTTTTGAGTTATCAAATAATAATATTATAGCGAGATATTATTATTTTGGTATAAATATGAAGATTTATACAAATCTAAAACTAAAATCTATAAATATTTCATCAAACTTTTCAGAGGATTGAGTGATAACTCAATCCTCTGAAATAGTCTAGTTACCGTACCTTGAATAACCGGCGAACCATAAATTTAGTGTCTCAAGCCTATTTCAACATAAAATATTATTTTCTGACCTTATATCTGACTTACTTTTTTTAAAAAAAAAAATGAAATGTTAGCCACAAAAAAATTGGAAGAGAATGGTATTCAAATATATTTCGGATATTTTTATGAGGTCAGAAAATATTTGAAGTCAGACCTTTCAAAACGACCTGTCTCAATACAATTAAAATTGAGATGACATTGAAAAGTTTTTTTTTGTTTTATTAACAATTTTCCTTTAGGTGATTCACCTCCACCTGCAAATGGCAATATCATGAACATTTATTTATTTGTCATCACTTTCACTTGTTCATTCTTCTTATTCTCTCTTTCTTGATATTTTCTTTCACGTATTTAAAATATTTTTATGATATTTGAAAATAAGTAAATATATCAAATAATATAAGACTATGTACAAGTATTATCCATATCTTTTTTATTAATGGCAGCAGATGTTTTTTATTGTTTTTTATGATTATAAAAAAAAAAAAAAAAAAAAAAAAAAAAAGGTAGTGGGGCTTCCAGGGGCTGCGCCCCTTCTAGCCCCGAAGATGTTTAGTAAATGAGGTTTTTATTCGGAAAATTGTTAGTCTTCTGGTGTGAATTCGGAGGACTCTTCTTGGATTGAGTCTTGTATTTCCTCCTCCTCTTCTTCCTCCTCCATTGCTTCTGGGAAGAAGTCTTCTTCTGGGTCGAAGACATTATATAATGTGTAATTGAATGACACATTATATCTTTCTTTGAGTTCGCTCCTGACAAAGAACTTAGTTCCAGGAATACAGAAGACTTCTGTGCGTTGGAAAAGCTGATGTCCTGGAACAAATTTGGCAATTAGAGACTTCTTTTTTCCGAATTGTTCAGGAGTTTCCATGACGACAGTAACAACATCTCCATCTGCGAGGTCTTGTTGTTGTTCGGAAAGGTAAAGAGCAATGATATAAATGGTTGCTGCGTTGAATTCGAGAAAGTCGAATTCAAATTGTGTAGTCGTATAGCAGTCAAACCATTTTGTACAGTTGTCTCCGAACTCGTCAATGTATTCATCTTGGTCATATCCGTAACTAAAGACTTGGAATTCGGCAATTCTCTTGTCGAATGACCGTTGGATGGAACGAGGAAGATTTTGACGAACTTGGTATAAAGTTCTCAACATTATAAGCTTAGTAAATGTTGGAAAATACTGAACTAAGACATCGCTAAGCTCAATTGGACTTGGAATTGTCTTAGTAAGTTCAATTGAACTAGCAATTGCTTTGTTCAGAACTTCACAGAACTGAGTATTGTATATAGCGTCTGGTTGTGTGTTTTCTTCGGCGTCTTTGAGATATTTAGAGCAAATTTGTTGAAGAATTTCTCTTAATTCGCTGTTAGACTTTTTGGCGGTTATTCTAACAGCTGTGCCAGTTCTTGGAGGTTGTGGGGCTTTGGCTTTGGTTAGCGGTTGAGAATTGTTAATGTTGGCTTCCATTAGACAAAAATAAACTGTTTTTTTTCGGACTACTCATAGAAAAGTTTAAAATAAACCGTTTTCGTCAACGGTAACCCCCTCTATTTTTTTTATTTTATTTAATAGTTACCGTTGGCAAACCGTTCCATCTCAAATATTGAATGAACTATAAACGTTTTTTGTTTTCTATACATACTTTTTTGTCCAACGGTAAAACTTTTTACACAACGGTTTTTGAGAGTCGTAGCCGTTGACTTTTTTGTAGAGCACTCAAAATAGTACAGCTTTGTCCGGACAAGTAAGGGTCTATCGTCGCTACAGGAAAAGTTACAGGCGTTCCAAGGAAGTATACTTTGAGAAGACTTTCCCCCTTATAGAATGAGATAGGACGGTTATTTTACAAAACTGACAACACTTTGACCGAGTAGTTTTTTGTGCTGAACAAAAAGTGTCATATAAACATCTGTCAAAAACCGCTTTTTAACTTCACTTAAAATGCCACGTAAGCTACGTAAGAATATACGTAAGAGGAAGAGAGCATTGAAACATCCAATAGTAAAACTGACACCACAACAACAGTTGCAACAACAAATGCTGAATGACCCCACTATGTTGCAACAAATGTCAAGCAATCCTATGCTTTTAAACCGAGTCATTGGTGCACAGAGTGGAGGTTTAAGAGCGGCACTTTTAGCGAAAATGGCAGGCTATGGTGGAGCTGCAGACGGAACAGCCTATAACCCTCAAAGTCAAATGAATTTGAGTTCACTCAAAAATCAAATAACAGATGTCAAAAAGTCAAACATAGACATACAGAAGCAAATAAGTGAAAACGAAAAGAAACTAGAATATGACAGACACACAAAGAAACTCAATGAGTTAAACGTAGAGAAAAAGAAGAAAGAAGAACAACTGAAAGAACTAAGTACAGAGGAATATGCGAAAAAAGTGTCAGAAAAAGCAGCAGAAGTAGCAAAAATGGAACAAGATGTCATAAATTTGAAAAACCATACTACTCGATATAAAGTACTGAAAGATGAAGAGATAAAACAAAAAGCCCTGAAGACATATATGGATAGCGATGAGTATAAAAAAGAAGTTGAAGCAAATGTAAAGGCAGAAAAACTTTTACAGTTGCAAAACCAAACCGTACAGTATGAAAACTTAGCACAAGAAAGTAAAAATAACGACGCGGCTATGCAAAAGGCAATGAAAAGCTCAGAATATATAAAAGCTAACAATGACTGGTTAGATGCCCAAGCCAACGCTAAAGCAGCCCAACTTATAGGGTCAATAAGGACAAAAATACAAGCGGATGAAGACAGTTCAAATGAAGCTTTAACAAATGCTGACTTTAAGAACGCCTTCGAAGCTCTTCATAGTAAGGTGAAACTAGTGAACGACTTCTCATCTGGAAAGAAACTGAAGTCTGAAGGTTTCGACAAAGAGTTAAGAGAAGTAGCACAAAATATGACGAAAATAACAGATGCAGCAACGAGACAGGCAGTTCAAAGTGCCTATGACGCCGTTAGAGCAACTGTTGTGGAAAGTCAAGAAAAAGAGTTACAACAGACCAAAACAGACCTAGTAAATGCTTTCTTAAGAACGAAAAGTCAGGTAGGACATTACGCTGCAGATGGAACATATGTGCCAGCTGGTGGAACTTATATACCACCAAACCCTCCAAGAGAAGCACCTGCACCAGGACTACCTAGAACATTTACATCGTCACATGGACACAGACACAGGCATGCACCAAAACCAACAGTTCAAAATCCAGCACAACAACCAACACAACCAGCACAGCAACCAACAGTTCAAAACCCTGCACAACAACAACCACAAACAGAGCAAGGACATAAAAGAAGTAGAGAACAAGGAAACCAAGAATTCTTAAAAATGCTTAAAGAAGAGTGTGGTTTCCCAGATACTGTTGACTTTAGTGACAGATATAAAGAAGCTATTGGAAAGTTCAAGGATGGAAATACTGACCCGAACCTATTTAGCTTTATGGCTCAGCACCAAAACGGATATAATCTCAAACCTGGAAAATACAAGCTCGCTAAGGGATATGATTTAATAGCATATCATCCAAATGACATGGATGAATTTACTCCGAGATATTTGATGTCAGAGCTAAATGACAATTCAACTTTCGTCATGAAACGCGTAAAAAATAGAGACGGAACGAAAGAACAAAAGCTTATGAATGCGGATGACGTAGATAGGGAAATTGTTGAAAACGGTCTCGGAATATATGAAATGCCAGCAGATGAGGTACAAGAAACTCCACAGGAAGAAGTTCAGATACAACCAGACATGGAAGAAATAGTTCAGCAACAACAGCTAGAAGAGCCTGAAGGAAACGAACAAGTCCCTCCTTTGGAAACTAACCTCACAGAACTAGATGAAGATTTGGAACAGCCGAAAAATCTTGACCCTCAACAAGAGCATGAGGTGAATATGGAATCTTTCCAAGAGTCTAAGAAAGATTCGGCTGACATAGTAGAAGAATATCGAAAAATGTTTGCCGACATACAAAAGACTCCAACACCAGATGAAAATATTCAGCATAGAATGGAAGACTGAAAAAAATGTACACAAATACAACAACCCTTTTTACTTACGAGCATTTAACGTTCAATCTTCGGATGAACTCGGTGAAAATAAAAGGTTAAATTTCAAGAAAACATATAGAAATGAAACATTGTTTAAAGTTCATTCAGAACCTAACCAAGATGGAAACAAACCTACTTTTGTTTCTGCAGACGATGGAACTACAATGAGATGGGGTCATAAAGCTAATCCGGATAGGTGGTTCATAAACTTACAACCACAATTCCAAGAAGTTGTAGACGCAATGGAAGTCAATGGTGAACCAGATATAGCTGGTATTTTAAGCGCGGCTTTAATGCCATTGAAAGATATGAAATGCAGATATTTTGGACCAGTATGAAATGAACATGGCTGATGGAAATATAACACCTGACGTTCTAGAACATTTATCTCAAAGAACTACACAGAACCATAGAGATGGTATATTTGGTGAAGAGTTTAGAAAGAAAGTTAGGGAGAGAGAAGGAAGAGAACCTATTGTACATGACCTTGCAAACGAAAGTTTACAAAATGTCATAAAAACTTACTTTGCAGACAATGAACCGAGAAGGGATGAATATTTAAGAAAACTCAAATGGACAGTACCAAATGAAATGTTAGTATTGAAAAACATGTTCCTTGACAAAATAAAACCAACTACAGAAATAAACGACGCAAGACTGAAAGATTGGGTAAAAGCTTTCCCATTCACAAAAGATATAGTTGGTAACATGGAAAGAAAACCAGAATGGCTACAAAAACATATATTTGGAAACGAGCATATTCCATATGGACAGGCACTGTTTGAAGAGCTTGAACCGGAAACTCAGGAAAGAGTCATGCAAACAATACGCGAAGACTCAAATACAGACTATGACAAACTCTTTCTAGGATATAGGTTACCTGAGATGGGCGACCAGAGCCAAAAGGCAAAAAGGACATGGGAAATTTGCAACATACTAGATGAACATAATGCAAAGATGCAACAACTTCAAGCAGAGGGCAATGAAGGAAAAAGAAGAGTTAAAAACTCAGTCAGGAAGAAAGTAAAGCTTGGTCCACGTGGGTTCTATTATGACATATAAATCCAACTATTCTATATTTTTACTCATATGAAATGTACGCCGCTCAGAATATAACGCCAACAGTTTTGGATGCTATGAATGGAAATGTTTCCGAATGGTATAACGAATGCGACAATGCCATTAGAAGGTCAGAAATAGTTCCTGGAACTTACGAATATACAACTGCTGTTTCTTATGGAAACGTAGGTGAGTTTGGAGAAGGTTCTTCAACAACAGTAGATATTGCTTGCGACAGGTTTCATATAATTTCTATTGACAACTCTTTCTTATACGTGGAACAAGACATTGAAATAAAACCTTCTGCCAAGTTGTCTGACAAGAAAGGTTGCAATGGAATTTTCTATGTCGGATACCAATATGCTCCAGAAGTTTTCATGGGATATAAGATATATTCTAACTCTGACTTAGTTCAAACAGTAACATGGGCAAACTATGAATGGTTCGCTTTGAGAAACTCAGTACAACCACAAGCTAGAGAACAAACAGACCAGTATGCAACTATTGAGAAAATAAGAAGACTTGACCCTAACGTTCCAGGAGTTTATGTTAACCTTTCTGGACAAACTGCAGCAGCAGTAACCAAAGTAAAATGAAACTTAGAGTTCCTTTGTCATCTTTCCTCATCTTCAGGTTTTTAAGATACTTGCCAAACTGGGCAGGAAAAATTTCTATCGAACTTACTCCAAGCAAAAATAACTTAGTCATTGCACCAACACAAGACCCATTCACTCTTACAGACGTAAAGGGAGCAAATAAACGTCATTCGCCGACTTTTGCAAAACAAAGTTGACTTAGACTTTGGTTTCTCAAACCTCAACACTGAAGTAAACTACTTCAATGCTGCTGGAATGCTTGGGACCCAGTTAAGTTCACATGCGAAAAATTTGAATGCAAGAGAATAGAAAGCAGACTTGCAGTCTATATGTTGGACCCAGATATTTCAAATGCTTTAGCTGCCAAATATATTGCAGTTCCACTTATGTTCCCTATACACCAAATATCTGTCAAAGACTTTGCAGGTGAAGTTGGAAACCAAGTGCTGACCCAGGTGCAAGAACAGATATTGCTTTAACAACTGCAATGAAACATGCAGATACTATGTTTGTACTGTTCAGACGAACTATAAATGACTATTCTTGTTTCTACAACCCTGGTATTAAATATCATATAAACATAGATGGCAAATATATCCAAGAGAAGAATATTCTACAGTTGAGGATATGAGGTCATACAACTTGACATTAGATGCTATGAACTTTAACAACAACTTCACAACAACCATTAACCCTGAAATGCAAAGTTCTATTATGCCATATGTGAAAGTATGGACTCATACAGGAGCTCAAAACACTCAATATACAAATGGAGACCGTTCAAACTTTTGGCTTGGCATTCCATTTGCTGACTCAGAAGACTTTATGGGTGGTATTTCAACTGTTGGTACAGTTCAAATACAATATACTGGTGACAGAGACGGTCCAATGAATTGAAAGCAAAGAAGTTTACAAAACCAATAGCACTTTTCACGGAAGATGCTCTTTTGAAGATTCGTTCGATGAAACCTGCTGGGGTCCTCAGATTGGCATAACGACAGCTTCCATCGAGCAGATTTTGGCAGCAGGTCAGTAAGTTGTTCTTGAACTGACTTCTCTCCGTCAAATATTGACAGTACGCCAGTTTTGACATAAAATTGTATTATAAACTTACCTTTAGAAATATCGGTCAGTTTTTGTTGTTATATTTTTGTCTGCTTCAAGAACTTTCACCATTTCAGTTATACCAACTTTCTTTGCTTTATGAAAATATTTTGGTTCAGCAAAGACTGCTATTCTATAACATTTTCCATTGTGTGTATAAAACTCTGTCAATGAACTTGTATTGTTTGTGTGTGTAAACTTTGTTCTGCTTCAATTCGAAGAGATACTCAAATACGTCCATCTTTTTATTCTAAGTAAAATGTCATTTCCGAAAAATAGAAGCGTAAGTGTTTCAAAAGGTTTAATGGCGGTGGCAGATGTGAAGTTAAATTCACCAACTCAAACAAACAGTCAAAGTGTTGTTGTCAATGTCAAAGAAAGAGATGTTGAAGTGGGGAAACCATACGAAGACGAAGATGGTATAACAATAGTTCCTGTAAAAGAACAACCAACATACCTGAAGTTAGCAGAGACTTAAGTTCTGTTGCAGATATTCGAAACGACTACCAACAACTTAAAGACAAACTTAAACTCAGGAGAAGATTTGTCAAGCTTTGGGTATAATGTTAAACTTGGTTGAGCACAACCCTGTAAAAGTGAACTCATATGTCATCGCACCTCATGAAGTTTTGAAAGAACTATTGAAAACTTTTGACAGAGGCAGACGATATAAACATCAAAGAAAGAACCCGACATTGCTTGCTGTGGTGTTTCATATAATGTCATTGACAAGATATACGTTATGAAAGGAGGTGAAACGTTGAACTTAAAAATATAGTTTCCCAGACGTTATAAAAATATTTGACGACCACAACATTTCATTAAAATTTATTTGCTAAGTAAATGGCAGAAGACATAATGGTTTATACTATTACGACTAAAAACCCTGAGTCATATAATTCTATAACAACAAACTTACAAAGTCCTCAAGGACGATATTGTAAACTAACCTTAAAACACAATGACGACTAAAGCCTGTTTTGCTCTTTTGACACCAGAAGATTTTATTGTTGTGAATGGTAAAAAATACTCCTTTGAAGATACTTACTCAGATATACCACCAACAGGTTTTGTTGACTTATTTAATACTTTAAGGACGGATGTAACATGTGCTGCAACTAGAGCAGGTTTCATTATGTTTGGATGTCCGACTGAGTTTAGTATAAACGATATGAGCTATAATACAAAACTTATATCTGGTTTTACTACCAACAGTTTCCTATAACAGGAAAAGGTGTCATACAAGGTCTATCCGTTCCATTGACTTTAAGTACACCTATTTTATATATTGTTTCAAACTTAGGTTCAAAGTGTTATTCGAATATCGACAGAAACTACTATGACCAAAAGATACTCATGCGTATAAACAACACTTTCTCTGCTGGTTTGCCTATTGTTCATTCGAATGCAGAGTTTTCAGCTTTAGTAAACTCAAACACTTTAGCAAACATAAACTTAACCTTAGTTGACGCAAACTTTGTTCCTGTAAAACTTTTATGTCCTATGTATTTGTCAATGACGGCAGAAAGTTTCGAATTGGAAGATGCAACTGGTGAAAGTATTGTACTACAAGAACAACTTCAACAACAAATAGCTCAAGAACAACAAATGCAACAAATAGCTCAAGAACAACAAAGTCAAGAATAAAAAAAATATTTTTTTTTTATTTTTATAAAAATGTACAGAATAGATGTTTCAGATTTTTATGACTTCCAAGCATTCAGAAATATGTGTCCATTTAGAGACTATAACAAAGCAGTCGAGAATTTGAAACGTTTAGTCATTTATGTTGACTCTGCCCCAGAATGTTATGTCATGAAAGAATGGGATGTTGTCTTTAACAAACCAAGAGCGACAATAGTTTCAGAACAAGAATGTAGACAGAAACTTAAGAAAATAAAAGTTGTACAAGTTGGAATGAAGATGTTAGATGCTTGGGATATCTTATTGTCAAAGTTAGAAGATTTTTCAGTTCGAGGTATAAAGTTCTATACACCTTCTCCAAACTTCTATTCTATCTTCACTGGATATAAATACGAACAAGTAGAATGGAAAGAAAATATTATAGAAGCTTGGTTAGACCATGTCAAAGAAATTATATGCAATGGAAACGAAAGAGTCTATGAGTATATCTTATGTTGGTTTGCGAACATCTTACAATATCCAAGTGCTAAAAATGAAACTGCTCTCATTATAATTGGAAAACAAGGAACAGGTAAGAACACTTTCTTTACAGATATTTTGTGCAAACTGTTAGAGGGCTATTCGAACCCGAATATGACAAACTTAGAAAACATCTGCGGTAAATTTAACTCTTCAATAGAGAATATGAAACTTATAGTATGTAACGAACTTCAAAGTATAGATACAACAAAGGTTTTAAACTCAGATGCTTTGAAGAGTCTTATAACAGACAAAGTTGGAGTTGTTGAAAGAAAATATAAAGACCAAAGAGTTTGTGAAAATGTTGCAAATTTCATCATGGTTTCAAACAACGCCGTTCCGATGAAGTTAGAAAGTTCTGACAGAAGATATGTAGTTGTCAGAACGTCAGATTCTCATATGCAAGATACAAAATATTTTGACGACTTAGCAGAAACTTTGACACCTAACTTTTACAACCACTTGTTCTCATATTTCATGACATTAGATATTTCTAAGTTCAATCCAAGACAAATTCCACATACCGAAGAAAGACAAACATTGTTAGAAGCAAACAAGAGTGTATATGAACTGTTCATAGATGAAACTGACTTTGAGTGTTTAGATGAAAGGTCATTGTACGATTCGTATAAACAATATTGTCAAGAATATGGTTATATGACAGCTTCTAAACGAACATTCTTGGCAAATGTCAAAAATCTTTTAGATGTTCAGAACGGCGTATATACAAAGAAAAATTTTTCTGAGTAAATTTTAAAAAAATATTTTTTTATCCGATAGAAAAGATGACGAAATATATTTCAGTAAATAAGTACATGACAGAAGTCAAAGAAGAACTAGACCCATTCGCTTATTTGAATGTTTACTTCTACCATTTTGAAAAGTCTTCATTTGACAAAGTTTGGAACATCGAACCAGTTAAGTTTGCTATTGTGACTAAAAATGGTGCGAAATTTGAAGACTTAGACATAGAAGGTTTGTTAGCAGTCAAAGAAAATTTTGACAGAAGGTTCTCAAACCTTAAAGAAGGCAAAGCATACAAACTTGTTATACCTTATGAACCAAAGAAAGCAGACGACTATGAATATTATGAGTCTAAGATAGTTGAAGTTCAAGGTAAGTTGGGTAAAAAGATTTTAGAGTCTAAGCCAGTGTTTGCTCCTAAAGAGGAAGAGAACATTGACATTGACCCAGAAATGTTCTAAAAATAAAATTTTATTTTACATGTCAAATTTCTTTTTCTCTGGAACTGGCTCTGGTTCTTTCTTCTCTTCTTCTACTTTCTTTTCTTCTACTTTCTTTTCTTTCTTTTCTCTCTTCTTCTTCTTCTCTGGTGGAGTTATGTCAAATTTGGCGCAACCATATTTATGTAAAAGTTCTTTGTCCTTTAATAGCTCATCTATTCTGTTTTCTATTTCATCTTCAAGAACAGCGCATGTGCCTTCTTTGCATTCTAAGAACTTTTGTTGGACTTCATCTTTCCAATCGGCGTCATCTCTGTCAACAAGTCTGTCATTGACAAATTTTAAGACTGCTCTTTGTAATGTTTTATGGTTCTTGTCATATTCCCAGAAACAGAACTTTAGAACAAATTCACCTTTCTTGTTTACACTATGTAAGATTTTATGGTCGACAGAAGTTTTAGAGTCAAAAAGCTTGTCTCGAATATAGATAGCGAAATCGCTAGACATTTTCAAAAAGATAAAAATTTTAATTTTTCTAAAAATATGTTAGAAAAAAAGTTTGCTGACATTGACAAGAAATTTGAGAATGTTTTAAACAAGAACAAGAGGAAGTTAGAAAATGCTCAGATAAAACCTATACATGACAAGTTCTTATTTGCTCAGAATGGTATAACAGGTCTAATTGCACCACCTGGGTCGGGTAAGACTTTCACTTATCTTAAAATGGCTGCACAACAACAAGAACTAGATGAGAAGAACCCATTCTATGAGTTAGTAGTCATTTGTAGTACTTCTGGTCAATTTGACCAAACCGTAAATTCGTTCAAAGATATTATAAAAAAGTCTAAGTTAGTATGTATAAAGGATACTGAGTTGTTAGATTGGATAAAGAAGTACCAAAGAAGAGTTTTGAAGTACAATGCTATAAATGAGTATATAAATTCTAAGTTTAAAGACCCAAATGAGGAAATGCAGAGAATATTAGAGAAGAAACACTTCAGAAACAAACAGAAAGAGATAGAATACATTTCGAAGAAATTGCAATCTTACGATTGGAAGACTTACCCTCATAGATGTCTTCTTATCTTAGATGACTTTGCTTCTCATCCTTTGTTAAAGAACAGAGAACAAGACATGTGTCGAATTCTTAAGAAGCTCAGACACTTTAACATTTCAGTTGTCATTTGTGTACAGACAGCCAAGAGTTTAAGTAAGGATGTTAAAAGAATACTTACTGATATCATACTTTTCCCTGGATTGTCCGAAGACGATTTCATGGAACTTATGAAAGAGTCCATGGCAGGTAAGTTTGACAGACATGAACTATGGGAGAAGTACAAAGTCATACAAGACCCTCATACTTCTTTCAGAATTCATATCTACGCAAACAAAGTTCAAATTGTAAAAAGTCAAGCTTGAAAAATGTAAGTGTTTTGGCGACCAGGGTTTTTTCACTACTCGCTGTTCTTCTCTCGGTTTTTCGAGGGAAGCAAGCATATGAGGAAATTCATGAAATTTCATACGGAATTCAGCAAAAATATATTTTAGGTGAAGAGGTGAGATTTCACCTCTTTTTTCACCTGTTTTTTCACCTCAGTTATTTTATAAGCGTTTCACATGGTAAACGTTATTTTTTAAATTTTGTGAAAACTCAACGGTTTGACACAAGCCCTAAAAATTATTTTACTCAGAATTTTGTTGCTGAATTCAATAAAAATATATTTTAGGTGAAGAGGTGAGATTTCACCTCTTTTTTCACCTCTTTTTTCACCTGTTATTTTATAAGCGTTTTACATGAATTGTATGATGTATATTTGAAATCCTAAACAATTTCGTAGCTTCTATTTCTTCTGTCAGTACATCGAATGTTTTAACGATACCGAAAGTTTCTTTATACTTCTTCTTGACGTCAGATAGAAGGAAATCGTCAGCAGTTGGATAGTTTTTGTTCAGAAATGCTAACATGTTCATTTTATCTTCTGCTGGCTTTTCTGCTTCTTTCTTTAAGTCTGCATAGTCGTTTCGCATTCTTTCTATCTCTTTGACTGAGTAGTTATATTTCCTCATTGCTGCTTTACATTTTGAACATTGCGGGTTCATTTTTGCGTTATATTCTGAAACCTTACCTGCTAAAACAACTAAGGCGTCAATTGCTCTCTTCATCTCGAACATAGCGGGTCTTATTTGTTCGTTCCATACCTTACCCCTACTATCTTTATCTCTTATTTCCCAAACACATTTTGCAACTAATGAAACAAAGTTGTCGTAGGTCTTAAATTCTTCGGATTTATATATGTCAGAGATGTTCTTATATACCATGTCGCAATCTTTGTCCATGACTTTGTGGTTGCAATGAAATCCAAGGAATTCATAGTTTACCTTTCGTATGAACTTCTTTATTTCTACTGAGTCAGTTGGTTTCACTTCAATTTCGTCAAATTCGGGAATAGTGAGTTTTTGCTGCTGAATTTCAGGCAATTTGGGTAAATGGTCAATAATGTCCTGCATTTCATAAAGATACTGTTCATTTGTTTCATCCTGTGCGGTACAGTCTAAATTACTTGTTAAAAGTTCTTGCTTTATCTTCTGGATTTTTGTTTCGAAAGTATATGAAGAAGGAATGAAGTTTTTCATCTCTACCAACATAGATGTTGGATTCATAACTAACGAGTTTGGTGCTGTAGTTGCTAACATGTTCTTACAATAAAAATAAAAAAATATTTTTTTAAAAAAACCAACTTTATTTTTTATTTCGGGAAAATTCATGAGGTGAAAAAACAGGTGAAAAAAGAGGTGAAATCTCACCTCTTCACCTAAACATTATTTTTGGGTCATTTACGCTCATTACGATGAAGTTTCGACAAAACATTTACGATGAAATCATGAAAATTCATGAGGTGAAAAAACAGGTGAAAAAAGAGGTGAAATCTCACCTCTTCACCTAAACATTATTTTTGGTGTAAATTTATGACAAAATTCAAATTGTAAAAAGTCAAGCTTGAAAAATCTAAGTGTTTAGTCTTAGTAAGATGGTAGCTTCTTAAAGCAAATACCATTGCTGAGTTTTATGTACGTGAAGAGAAGTACAATAAATTCAATTACGAGTACAATTGCAATGACAACTAAGGCAACTATTTTTGTCTTTTGCCAGCAAGGGTACTTCTTCTCTTCCAATGGTTCGGCAGAACTATACTCACTCATGAGAAATGCCAAAACGGTTTAATAGAAAAAGTGTTATTTTTTCATGTCCGAAGACTCGAAGGTGCAACACTTCCAAAATACCGACGAACTCAGAAGAGCAGCATGGCAGTATCTTCTTGACAACTTCTTTGAGTTCTCCAGGTACACCTTGGAAAATGCTGAAGAACTCCGACACAGAGAATTTGGAGAAATTGCACTCCAATACTACATTGACAAACAAAGGGTAAACAAAGGGTAAATTAAGACTAAAAACTTAACGTTTAAAAAGTGACATTTTTATGAGCTCCGAGTCACCGAGAAAACTTGGTCAGATGTTAGCAGCTTACTTCCCTGAGGAAGATGGAAGCGTTACATACGTAAGGTTCAAAAACAACGAACCTGGAATTGCGTACCAAATTCGCAATTACATGACCATGGAAGAGTACGAAAGGTTCCTACAAGAGAAACCAGCTCTAAACAACTCAGAAAAGAAAGAATAAAAAGTTTAACTCGTAATTGTTTATTTTTTTACTTGTATGGGCAAGCTGCAAGAATGAAGTCAACTATCTCCGTCTTTGTCTTGACCAGTTGGACTGCTCTTGCGAGTACGTCTGTTTTGCGGTCTCCAGCTGGTGTCTGACCTTCGTAATTGCGCATGTTCTTGAGAGCTCCAACTGTAAATGGTTGTAGGATGAAGAGTCTCTCAGACTGCTTGAGGTAGTCTTCACGGTCACGAACCGAATCTGTGGTACGAGTCGAATCGGTCGATTTGAGGGAAGAGACTGAAAGCCTGTCTTCTTCCATTGGGGTAGTAGCATACTCTTTGCGTAAGCGGTTCAGACCTTCCTCGAACTCTTGGTCTCTCTTCGATTGAGATTGGAATTGTGGGGCAGGGTTTTGCATAAACATCCAAGGGTTGGGGAAGTAAGGCATAGGCTGAGGAGGAGGGTAGTTCGGGAAGCCTTGTGGTAGGTAGTAACCTTGAGGTGGAAATTGGTAGTAATTTGGTGGAGGTACTTGCTGGAACTGAGGTTGCTGAGGTGCAGGGGCTGGTGCTTTAGGTTCCTCTGGTTTGGGAATGGGCTCGGTTGGTGGTACGTCGGACATCTGTTTGTGGCTTAACCGTCGGAAGGAAAAACCTTTCCTGTCGGAAGGAAAAACCTTTCCTGTCGGAAGGAAAAACTTTTTCTGTCGGAAGGAAAAACTTTTTCTGAAGTTTGACCAAAAGTTCTCAATTTTCGAAAATTTGAATGGTTTACGGACGGACAACTGGAAGAGTCCTTCCTGTCGTCGGGAAAATTTTTTCCAGTTGTCGGGAAAAGTTTTTCCAGTTGTCGGGAAAATATTTTCCTGTCGGATGGAAGGACTCGGAATGCCAGAAGGATTTGACGAGGCAATTTACCTTATAGAGATAAATGAAGTTGTTAAGCAGTACTTGCGCAGGGTAATGAAGCCCAAGGTCAAGTTCACCGCTATTTCTGGAAGGGCTGTCTTGAATCTCGAGACTTCGACTGGAATTCCAATTCAAATACCAGACGGGACAGCCTACGATGGCATAAAGGACGCCAAAAGAGAAGCTCTTGTTAAGTTCCTAAACAAACGTCCTTGGATAAAAATACCAAACAAGGAGAACCCCCTACCCCATATGAAATTGGCAATTCAGTCTCTCCTTCACTTCTCGGGTCAGCCGTTCTACATAACCTGTGAAGGCGACATCCAACCAATTCAGTAAACCTTAACGTTTAACTTCACTTTTTTTATGTTTTTACTCACACTCGTACTCAACAGGTTTGTGTACAACTATTTCAACTGTGAACCTTGTATTGACCGGTCTTCCTGCAAATGCAAGTTCGGTCAATATACAATTTATGGTGGCAAGAAGGACAGTGGGGAATGTTATTCTGACATCTGTTGTTGCGCTCGAGAGAGATTTGAAATTTCAGAGCCACCTCCCCCAAGAACTCCAACACCAACACTCAAGTTGCCAAAGACTCATGTGAAGAAGAAGCCTTCTGGTAAGTTTCTTATAGCCATATACATGGCACGCTTTGAGTAAAAACATTTTTTTCATTTTTTGAATGAAGCAAGTTAAATTCGTCCCACACCAATCTCAATGGACCGATGAAGAGTTTCAAGCCATGGTTGAAGGTGTTGAGAACGACATAGACGGCGAACTTGAAGGAGCTCAAACCACAATTGCAACCAAAATTGCACAAGTCAAGGAACAGATAGCTCCACTTAAAGCTACCAAAGCTACTCTTGACCTCATGGATAGTTACCGTTTAGAAGTAAAGAGTGGAATAAGACAATTAAAATTAAAACTTCTAAACTACGAAGCTATACTCCAAAAGTTAGCAGAAATGAGAAGACTTTACCAGAGCTACTTACATGTAAGGGACTTACCTTCAAGCAGTCCGACCAAAGATGAATTTTCTGACATTGTCCCAATTTTGTCCGAAAGTCAGCTCAGATGTTTTGAACTGCTCCCAACATATCCAGAATATGAACGTTTGCCTGAACTCTTCCGCAATCTCAAAAAACGTTTTTTGGTTCTCATGTTCGAAACTTTTATCGGAAGAGACAACAAACGTTCAGAAGAAGAACAAGATATTATTTTAAACTTGTTGTATGACTTAACCGTCATAACAAGCTTTTTGAAGTAAAACCGTCATTCTCAAACCACTTCATTTTTTCGATGTCCGAACAAGCACCGAAGCCGAACACAATGGCAGATGTCCTTTCAATGTTGCCAGACAAGCGCCCAGTTCAAATTCAAATTTTGAATTTGAAAGCTCATCTGACAAACACCGTTAAGACTCTCCAAAGTAGTCTTATGGAAGAGATGAAGGGACTTAAAGGTGAGTTCCTCATGAACCAAGCTTCCAATGAGAAAGTCCTGAACGATTTGACGGAAACCTTGCGCATTTACGCGAGAGAGAACCGAGACCTTGCCAGACTCATCTACCGTTTCTTCGAAGAGATAGATGCCATCTGGAAGGTACTCGGAAAGGACAGAACCTCCAACACCGTACTTCGTGAACACAGAATTGCCGAAGGAATTGTCGAGGAAGAAGAGAAACACGAAGAAGAGGAAGAGGAAGAAGAGGAAGAAGAGAAACACGAAGAAGAGGAAGTTTGGGCAACCCTTGTTGCCGATGACACTTACGAAATTTCCCAACCCTACCCATACCAAATCCGCAACAAGGAGACCGGCAAGGTTCTTACCCCAGTTCTCAACAACTTGGGACACTTGAACCTTACCCTTCGGAATTACGGTTCAATCTCCATGGGCAAGCTTGTCGCAATTCAATGGGTTCCAAATCCAAACAAGAGGACGAAGGTCAGACACATTGACGGTGACAAGCTCAACAACCGTAAGGAGAACCTCGAGTGGTTCTAAGAGTAAAAAAATTTTATTTTAGGGGGAAACCCCGAGTAAATTTAGGTGTTTATTTGGATAAGTATGTGAAATTAAGGTCAATTTGCAAAATTAGTTCCCGACCTTTGAATTGGACTCTTTCGTTCTCCCAGTTGCGTAGGAGGTCGTCCCAGAGGAGTTGGTAGATTTGCCAATCCAAGGACGATTTGTCCTCCCAGGCATTGAGGATGTACTGCTCGTAGAGTCTCATGACCTCTCCCTTGCACCAGACACCCTCTCCCTTGGAACGTAAGGCTTCTTCGAAGTGCTCGAATGCGATTGGCTGCGTGACCATCTGAAATGACACTTTTTGTCCGTTTGGTCAATGTTTGTGTCTCGTGCCATAGTCGACGAAAATACAAACAAACAGGTTATATATGAGTTTGAGACCAAGAATTCCCCACATTTAAATTCAAATTCGAATAAAAATTTTTTATTTCATGCAATGTTTTATTTCTGTGCCGTCTTCAAGTATGCCCCAATATTTCCTTTTCGATATTACATGAACTTCGGTGAAAATTTTGTCCAATTTGAATTGACCCATCTTTTCACCGACCATGCCCATTTCAATGAGTTTGTTGTATCCTTCTTCGTTCGTCATGAGTGCGTCAATGTTCTCATAGTAAACCACAACTTTCGATTTGACTTCGGAGAAGAATTTGTTGTAGTTGTCAAGGACTGCCTTTGCGAACTGAGGGTAAGACCAATGTTCGACAATAGGTTTTAATGTGGTTACTAAGCCACTTTGACCTTGAGTGAATTCGTACTTCAAAACAAAAGGAGAAAACCTTTCAACAAAGTTGTCGACCTTCTCATAGTGTTTACTCTTCATCTTTTGAGGTTTCTTAATGGAATATCCCCATGTCGAATTCATAAGCAATTTGAGTGTCATTGCAAGTTTGGGGTTTGAAGCTTTCCTAATATCATACAGTTGTTGTATGACTTTTCCAACTGTATAGTTCCTTCCTGGGAACTCACCGTCTTCGTTTGGAATTCCAGTCGGGATATATTGGACGAACCTCATGTATGCAGCGTTAAGGTCGACATAGTATATCTTTTCGTTTGAGTCGAACTTGTCGCAACCAATGGGTCCAGTTCGTGGAAATTCAAGTGAGTCTCTTATCTTCTGAGAAACTTCGCCTGCTATCTCATAAACATCGTCGAAGCAACCTGTTTCATATAAAACCTTCTGACCTAACTCCGATGCTCTCCAATACAATTTGACGTCAATTGGATGTCTCAATGGAAGTTTGTTTATAGCATCTTGAAGTTCTTGCAACCTCATTGGAAGTTCTTCTGGTTCAGGTTGGTATCCGAACAATCCAACTCCTTTTGGAACTGTGTACTTCTTTTGTACTATAACTTTGTCTGGAACAACTTTTGGTCTTGCTAACAGTGAAAAGTTTGTTTCGTCTTTTGGTACAAAAGTTTCTGTCAGCTTGTCATCTGGAATCGGTTCCAACAAACCTTTCTCGAAAAGAATGTTTACAGCTCTGACAATGTTGCACTTGCCTTTTCCGAACAATGGGTTTGTAAGACTTTCGTTCAACATGAAGTGGTTGTGGACAATTACAATCTTCAACCATGGTAAGTCTTTGTCAACAACATAGTCGTCATGTGAAGAACCTTTCTCAGTCGGTATGTTGACTCGGATATTCACATTTGCCAACGGTGCAACTTTTGCCAATTGACCTCTAAGAATGTACCTTGTCTTCACACATGACTCAAGATACTTCATCTTCTCTTCTGAAACAAGACCAGAGTTCCTGAGACATGTAAGAATACAAGGTTCATTGACAATTGTTTCGATTGAATTGTAAATTCCATACCTTGTCAAGTCAATGTCAGACTTATTTCTGAAGGGGAAGTATCCAGCATGTTGTCTGACTGCTTGAGGGTTAGGTTGGTACCATTCGAACTTGACACTTGCAATTCCTTCAATTGCATTCAAAATGTCTGAGTCGGAGTCAACCATTTGTTCTCTCTTTGTAGTCTTGAAAGCGTCAAGAAGCATTGCAGCTGTTGTGACATTGCCATGTGCATAGTAAATATGACCATCTAAATCTGTTACGGTTAGTCTGAGATTGTATCCTTTCTTATTTCCGTCTTGAATTGCAGCAAGTACACCCATGAAGCCTTCTTTGTTCTTTCCTTCGTCAAAGTTTACTGTAAAGGTTCGACCAGATGTAATTTGACTTCTAACTTCACGATACTTCTCATATGCATATCTTGTTCTTTCCATGGGAGCATGTTTGTCTTCACCCTTCCCTTTTTTCCTTCTCAAAGGATGCAATTGTTCGTCATGTTTCCAGTAGAATCTGGCAAAGCCGTCGTGTCCTTCAACTTGAGGCTCAGAAACATCGAAAGGCATGTCCATAAGACGTTCTTCTTCTAACCTCTCGAGTCTGTTTGGATAATTGGCGCGCGCGGTTTCTAAGTCCATCTCGTAGCGAAGACCAGACAGTTTGTCATAGACTTTTATTGGCTTTCCCTTCCTATATTTAAAATTCTTCGAAACTCTCCAACCATATCTTTGCAACTCTGCTTTTATTCTAGCAGACTTTCTATCCATTCTATATGGGGGCATTTTTATAAAAATAAAAAAATGTTTTTTTTCTTTACTTTACATAACCACCTGCTGCCATAAGTCTTTGACGCCAACCCATACCAGCTAATGAAGGTTGACTTGGTTTAGTTTGGAAACTAAACTTTGGTTTTGGTTTATCTTCAGTTTTTGGTTTTTCTTCTTCTATCGGTTTTTCGTCACTTTTCGGTTCCTCTGACTTTACCTCACTTGCAGGTATGGTTGTGTCGTCAACATCTTCATAAATATCATATGCCATTTGTTTTTGTTTTCCTTTCAACTTTTTGTGTTTGTTGTAAAGTTTAGAATATTTCGACTCTAAGTCAATGAGATGTTCTATAATGAACTGTTGGTCAGTGAAGTAAACTTTTCCATCTGTTGTCTCGAAAGCTCCTTCAGACTTCAATATTTTATTTGTGAGAGTCTGTTTCTTTTTTGAGATACTAGCCGTTCCATTTCTATGAAAAGTGACTTTATAGTTAGGGTTTGTATTTCCAGACCTGGCACTTTCTATTATTGAATTTTTCTCTTCATCTGTAAGTTCTTTGACAGGTTTTGACAATGGTTCTGAACTTTTTGTTTGTGGTGTCAAATCTACCGTTTCAACTTCTTCGGTCATTTCATCTCAGTAAAAAATTTTAGTTTGGTTTGTTTTCAACTGGTTGTTGTTGTTTTTTAAGTCGGTCTAAAACTTCCTGAGGTATAGGAAGAACTTGACAAACACGTTGTGTAACTGCTGGAAGTCGACAAATCCATCTTGAACCCATTTGTCTCAATGCTGTATTGTTCATTTCATCTCAGTAAAAAACTTTACATTCCCCAAGTTTGAGGTGGTTGCGGTTGGTTATTGTTTACCCACTGTTGTGCATGGTTATATCCTCTGTTAAAGAATCTTTCACCTTGGTCCATATAGTGTCCTGCTTGGTTATAGTAGTCATTTGCTTTGTTATAATAGTTTCCTGCTTGTCTTCCTACATTGTCCATCCATCCTTGAACTTTTCCTCTTGTTTCAGGATTTGGAATAAGATTTGCTGCATCTCGTGCTACATCCCAACCTTTCTGTACAGTTTGTATAATAGGTTGTGCTTTCTCTTTAAGTATACCTAATGTACTCAAAATCTTCCTTCCAACTCCAAATACTCTGGCTATTGTTCCCACTGCGGGCAAAAATCTGGATGCAACTCCTGCTAATGCGCCAAATAAACCCATTTCTTATAGGGTAAAAAATGACGAATCCAAACAAGGACCCCTATGTTTCTAAAGCGACAAAGAAAGCACTCATGATAAAAATCTTTAGTTCAACACCAAATGCTTGGTTTATGGATATCTTGGAAAACATTCCGAGGTATAGAGAAGATGGACCACCATACTGGTTAATATTTGTCGGTCAAAACACAAGATACTGTGAAGCCATACCATTATGGTCCAAAAATATTTTAGATGTGAAAACTGCTTTGACAATATTCGTTGACAAATACCATCCAACAAAACTGACATCTGACTGTGAAAGTTCTTTCAAATCAGATGATGTAAAAAACTATCTGCGTTCAAAAAATGTAAACCAATATTTCATTGTCGACCAAAACCATTCTGCTCTTGGTGTCATTGACAGTTGTATAAAAATCTTAAGAGACTTAAACCAACCACAAGGTGGTGAGGTAGATGAAATGTCATATGACGACAAATATAGACACTTCTCCATGGCAAAGATGAGACAAGTTTTAAATATTTACAATAACCGTAAACAAAAGGTTTGGGAAACCACTCCCCTGAAGAAATGAAAAACAACCCCGACTTAGAGAAAGACTATATATTTAATAGTTTAGTCAAAAGAGACAAACAAGAAAGAATGCCAGGCTTCAAACTTAAGAAAGGTGACAAAGTAAAAATAGAAATACCTAAACGCGACCCATATGAAAATACTATTGACTATGACAACAATGGGAACTCGACAGGTACTCGCATTCGTGTTCGTAAAAATAGAAGAAAGTATACAAGAGAATATTATGAAGTTTTAGGCAAACATGGCAAAATGTACAGACTGCAAGCAGAAGATAAAACTACTATTGTCAGACCTCGTTTCAAACTTGTCAAAGTTCAAGGTGGTATACTTTCAAAGACAGTTCCTAACAAATATAAGACAACTCCTGACGAATATGCTAAAGAAGTTGAAAATGACGACTAAGCATTTCTATACCATGCGTAAACTGTCATGTAAGGTGGCATGTAGTCTTTACTTTGTCCCGTTGTTTCCGAATATCCTGTAATGCGATGTGTATGGCTTCCTCCTCCCTGCGTGTCATCCCAGTAACAATTTATAGCAAACTTAACGTCGTCTTTAACATCATATCCTTTACCTTTTGTCATTCCTGTCCAATCCCAATATCTATGCTTATGCCAACCTGCTTCAGCTGTAGTTAAATTTATGTAGTGACTGTGTGCAGGTAAGTTTTCACCTGAAATCGTTTTACTTCCACCTGTTACCTTTGAAGAGTTTGCACAATACAAAAACCTTTCGACTATTTGAGTCCAAGTTCCAAAACCAAGTACTACTTCTGGTCTGGTAGAGTTCATTGACGTATAAATAGAACCTATAGGATATACTGTTTGAAGTATTTCAGTCTTTAACGTTTGAAGCTCTGTTTTGTCTGCTTTCTTATATAACCTTTCTTCAAGTTCATTTACGTCAGAGATGCTATGTCTATGATATTTTTGTGGGTATGTTCCTTCTGTCCATGCGAAAATACGTTCTTTTGTTGCATCTACATATCCTTTTATCCATGTCGAGTCTGCTTTTGTATTCCTTAACTCTGTAACACCTTTCTCAAGCTCTTTCAACTGTTGTCCATCTTCCATTAAACCTCTGGTATGACTTGAAACCGTTTGTGTCAACATATCTACAGTTTCTTTGTCGGCTTTAAGGTCTAAACATCCTGAAACCCACCCTGTATTGGCTTTACCTTCTAAAATCTTCGATGTCCGTTCATGGTACCATTCAACCCTTTTTATAATTTCATTGTCTTTTTCATCCACATATTCCTTATCTGCCTTCTTCACTAACCCACTAGCCAGATATGCTAACTCATCGTCAACATACTCTTTGTCAGCTTTCTTTTCAACATCCTCTTTTGTTGCATATGTTGCATCTGCTCTGTCATGTTCTTCTTGAACTTTTTCAATGACATACTCTTTGTCAGCTTTGTTGTCAATATCTGCTTTCAAAAGAAGTTCATTTATAGGTTTCTCGTTTAAAGTTCCTTTTGTTGGATTTATACAGACAGTATGGTTCTTATTGTCTTGAAACAGAAACTCATCTGTCATTGGGTTTATCGTCAGTTTTAAGTTTCCTTCTTTCAATGACTCAGATATCTTAGAATAGTTTGAAAAGTTTGTTGTGTTCTTATTTAGAGCTTGCATAATGAGTTGTCGGTTGTGTTGTATTTCTCTCATAGACGCTGTTTCATTTGACATTTTTATTCTAGATAAAATATGCTTTCAATAGAAAAAGAAAATTCAAGAGTTGCTACAACTAAACCATTAGATGAACTTTTTACGAATGTCGGTCAAAAGTTTGAGACAGAGACCGTAAAGCATGAAGGCTATCGTTTTGACTACCCATTAAGATGGCTAAGAGACCCATCTGTCACAAAAGCTATTGGCTTTCGTAGAATGAAGTTTGTGTCTGTAGAAGATAAAAGTTTTCCATTTATTGTAAGGTTTCATATAGATTATATATCTGAAGGGAAACGAAAAATGTGGGAAGAAATTGAGCTAATACAAGTTGACCTTTCATCTTCTCTACAGACTGCGTTAAAAAATATAGAAGATAAAATAAATTCATGTTATGCAAAATATGCTGATGAATATGCAAATACCGAGAGCACACTTTATGTGAGAATTGTATATGACAAACAAAATTCACAAGTGTCATTTCAAATCTACGAAGACAATCCAAAGAAAGACGAACAAATATATACAGAATTCACTGCAATGTCATGGTATTATTTGCAAAGAATGTTAAATCAGAAAGTCGAACTTCCTTTAGCAAATATTTACAGTCGATATGCAAGAGATGAACCATATTTATTTAAAGATGTTTTCGACCCAGCTGCTATTATTGTTCATGCTTCATTTTCTGGCGCCCAAAACTCTTTCTTATGCTTGGCAAATGACTTTTACGAAAAACCTACAAAGTTATACGAACCACCAAGTGGAAGTATTTCAGACTTTCAAGTATGGTTTACTACAGATGGAAGAAAAAGAATAATTCCATTATACCATGTGTTTTACTTAGAACTTAGTTTCATATACAACTACTATCGAACGGTAAAAATATAACTTTTTAATACGGTTGAGGTGTTGGATTTGGTTGCCAACTAGACTGTGGTGCAGGTTCAGGCTGTTGTATAACAGGAGCTTGCTCTTCTGGTTCAGGGTCTTTAGGTATAATACCAACAAACTGACCTACCCTTTTACCAATATTTTTGACTCCGTTCCAAATTCCTCTTCCTACGGTTTTTATTCCATTCCATATACCTCTTCCAACTCTTCTGAAGAAGTTTCCAATACTACTGAAGAAACCCATTTTACTATATGTAAAAATCTAATGTCCGCCTAGTCTCTTACGTTTCCTGTTGAGTTCCATAGCATTCTTTAACTGGAGCTCATACATTCTGTTTCTCCTCTGGTAGAAAACATATTCTGGGTCAACTCCTGTGTTCGCGTCATCTGCATAAAGTTGTTTATATCCCACTTCAGGGTTTGTATAAAACTCTTTCCATCTCATATTTGCATACCATGGTGGCAAACCTAACGCAGCGTCATTTGACATGGCAGTTTGCATTTGTACATCTGTTGGCACTTGACCATAGTTTGCCATTGCAGTTTGTATTCTAACTTCATTTGGAATATTCTCTGGGTTTGGTTGTCCAGGTTGCTGTGCATTCGCTAAGTTCTGTGCGTCCATTTAATATTAGATAAAAATATCTCTTACGAGTACATATACTGAACATTTGCAGGCATTGGTTCATCTTCATATTCTCTGTACTTTTCTGCCACGTCAAATAAATAAATGACACAATGGAAAAAACCTAAAACAAGTAGTCCTATTTCAAACCACATTTACTTACTAGTAAAATTTCTTTGTTATGACACTTTCTCCAGTTTATAGGACCTCTCTCATATTCTATCTTGTCATATCTAAACTCATAGTCATGTATGTCCTCTAACCATCTCATGACACTTTCCAAACCACTTTTATCGGATGTAAAGTAAAAGCATGGATGGTTATGTAAAACGTCTAAAGTTTCTAAAGAGTCTCTCAAAGTCCAGTCTACTTGGTATTGAAAATCCCATGTGTTATAGAACGGCGGGTCTACTATAAAGAAAACATTTTCCTTGTTTTTATATTTTTCATACAACTCTGTCCAATGACATCTCACAAACTCTATACCCTCAATATATTTTTCTATGTCCTCTTTGAAAACATTTGTATAGTTAAGATATAAAACTTTTGACATAAGTGTCTCAATGTCATGAACTCTTATAGCACCACTATATAATAGTCTAGCAGATATACTATCCCAGTCTATATATTCTGCTTTTTTCAAAACCTCTCTCACAATATTTTTCTTATCTAATGGTATACGTTCCATCTTACCTATAGGTATCTTTTCTTTTAACTCTTTCAATATATTGTTTGTGTCTGGTATATGTTTGAGACGGTCCATATAGTTGTCGAAGTCATTGCATATAATCTTTGAGTCTGGGAATATTGTATGGCACAAATGGGATATATAGAAACTTCCACCGAACAAATCTACAAATGTTAGACCATTCGGTAGTTTCTTAAGTTCTCTCAATAGAATATCTTTACATCTACTCTTATTTCCAAAGAAGGGTAACGGTGGTTTTGTAAAATTCATTTTATATATATAATAAAAATGTTTTTTTCCTGAAAAGTGACAGAAAAGTGACAAAACATGAAAACTACTCGGTCAAAGGTCATATTTTCAGTAAGGACATATGGGGTAGAAAAGAGGTTAGAAAACGGGGTAGATATACCCTTCTACCCTAAAATATATTTTTATTGAATTCTGAGTAAAATTCTGAGTAAAATGACAGATGTTTATATGACACTTTCTCCGGTTTATAGGACCTCTCTCATATTCTATCTTGTCATATCTAAACTCAAAGTCATGTATGTCCTCAAAACTTCATTTCTCCTAAACATCTTCAGGGCTAGAAGGCACGAAGTGCCTGGAAGCCCCACTACCTTTTTTTTTTTTTTTTTTTCTTTATACCCTTTATTTTCATGAATTAAATTATATACATAGCAAATACCCTCAAATTTTTACTTTTTCAATTTCCCTGAGATCAAAAATTTGATTATAACCGAGTCAGATTTTCGTTGATTTTATATATTATATATTTGTTTTGTAAATAGATTTATATATGTGTGCGTTTTGTAAATAGATTTATATATGTGTGCGTTTTGTAAATAGATTTATATATGTGTGTGTTTTGTAAATAGATTTATATATATGTGTGTGTTGTAAATAGATTTATATATATGTGTGTTTTGTAAATAGATTTATATATATGTGTGTGTGTTTTGTAAATAGATTTATGGGGCTAACTATTCATACGGCTAAATTTGTGGATAAGAAATGATTTCTAAGACATAATACCTCTCAGATTGAAAAATAATTCGCTATAATGATGTATCGGTTCTAGTTTGACCCGATTATAATTGTGATATGAAATAATATATGTATATAAAAAATTTTTTAGTTAGAATGAATCACCAAATGTGTTATGCTTATCATTAGAAAATGAATTTTAGACATCATTTCCTGCTGTATCTTCCGATTTCTTCTTTTTAGATCGAATAATGAAGAAACAGACAACTGCGATAATTGCAATTACGACAATTACACCAATAACAATACCTGCAATTGCACCACCACTCAATCCTGCAGATTTGGCCAATTCATAATTTGTATTGTCTTCCTCAATATTATATGAAGGAACTTTCTTGGTTAACTTTACTCCACCGATACTGTCTCCTTGGTAATTTGTTGAAGCAATTACACCTCGAATTGATTTAGCATTCGCAAGGAAATTTCCTTCGAGTTCGTTTGTTCCAAAATATGCAAATATATCAATATTTACATCACTAAATGCCTCATCATCAATAGATTTAACATCTTTTTCAATATATATTTTAATATGTAAATCGTCATCGGGACTTGCGTAGACATAATTACTCCCAATTGTGCAATCTCCACCTAAGCTTAAGATTTCAATAAATTTCAGATTTTTACAATGAACCTTCGGTAATTCCATACTTTTAGAACCATCTGGAACATTGTAAATTATTATTTCAGTTTCTTCTAAATATAATTCAATCAATGATTGAAAAATCAGTTTTTTCGCAGAAAAGGAATGTAGAGCCACAGATTCAACAGATTTTGGAATAATAGCATCTTTTAGTGAAGTATTATAAAATGCATAATCTGCAATGGTTTTAACTGAACTACCTAATGTAACCTTCTCAAGACTACCACACTCATAGAATGCATTCCAATCGATTGTTTCAACAGATTTTGGAATAATAACTTCTGTTAATGCAGTAGAAGCAAATGCGAATCCTCCAATGGTTTTAACTGAACTGCCTAATGTAACTTTCTCAAGACTACCACATTCATAGAATGCTTTCCAACCGATTGTTTCAACAGAATCTGGAATAATAACTTCTGTTAATGAAGTATTAAAAAATGCAGATTCCCCAATGGTTTTAACTGAGCTGCCTAATGTAACTTTCTTAAGACTACGACACTCATAGAATGCAATATGACCAATTGTTTCAACAGAATCTGGAATAATAACTTCTGTTAATGCAGTAGAAGCAAATGCAGATACATCAATGGTTTTAACTGAGCTGCCTAATGTAACTTTCTTAAGACTACGACACTCATAGAATGCACTATCACCAATTGTTTCAACAGAATCTGGAATAATAACTTCTGTTAATGCAGTAGAAGCAAATGCGAATCCTCCAATGGTTTTAACTGAACTGCCTAATGTAACTTTCTTAAGACTTTCCAAAAGAAAGAATGCTTTCTCACCAATTGTTTCAACAGATTTTGGAATAATAACTTCTGTTAATGCAGTAGAAGCAAATGCGAATCCTCCAATGGTTTTAACTGAACTGCCTAATGTAACTTTCTTAAGACTACGACAATCATAGAATGCAAAATCACCAATTGAGGTGACTGTCTTAGAAAGTGTGATGCTTGTAATACTTGACTTAGAAAACGCATTGTCTGAAATACGTGTAACTAAATTTGACACAGTGACTGAACGAATGGTTAGGCAATCTCTAAAATCAGCATCATCATTATTAATGGTAACATCAGAATCCTGTTCTGGACACTGGGATACTGTTAAAGACAGCAATGTGTACAACATTATTTAAAAATAAATATTTTTAAAAAAGAAAAATTTCCGAATTCAAAAATTTAAAGATGAAAAGTCAAGACCATCTGTGAGGTGAAATGTATATCGTTTTGGAAAAAATGGAAGATCTAATCATGTTATATATAATTAAAAAAAATAATCATTATAAGTCAAAAACTAATTTCTATTCTTTTGAGTTATCAAATAATAATATTATAGCGAGATATTATTATTTTGGTATAAATATGAAGATTTATACAAATCTAAAACTAAAATCTATAAATATTTCATCAAACTTTTCAGAGGATTGAGTGATAACTCAATCCTCTGAAATAGTCTAGTTACCGTACCTTGAATAACCGGCGAACCATAAATTTAGTGTCTCAAGCCTATTTCAACATAAAATATTATTTTCTGACCTTATATCTGACTTACTTTTTTAAAAAAAAAATGAAATGTTAGCCACAAAAAAATTGGAAGAGAATGGTATTCAAATATATTTCGGATATTTTTATGAGGTCAGAAAATATTTGAAGTCAGACCTTTCAAAACGACCTGTCTCAATACAATTAAAATTGAGATGACATTGAAAAGTTTTTTTTTGTTTTATTAACAATTTTCCTTTAGGTGATTCACCTCCACCTGCAAATGGCAATATCATGAACATTTATTTATTTGTCATCACTTTCACTTGTTCATTCTTCTTATTCTCTCTTTCTTGATATTTTCTTTCACGTATTTAAAATATTTTTATGATATTTGAAAATAAGTAAATATATCAAATAATATAAGACTATGTACAAGTATTATCCATATCTTTTTTATTAATGGCAGCAGATGTTTTTTATTGTTTTTTATGATTATACCCTTTATTTTCATGAATTAAATTATATACATAGCAAATACCCTCAAATTTTTACTTTTTCAATTTCCCTGAGATCAAAAATTTGATTATAACCGAGTCAGATTTTCGTTGATTTTATATATTATATATTTGTTTTGTAAATAGATTTATATATGTGTGCGTTTTGTAAATAGATTTATATATGTGTGCGTTTTGTAAATAGATTTATATATGTGTGTGTTTTGTAAATAGATTTATATATATGTGTGTGTTGTAAATAGATTTATATATATGTGTGTTTTGTAAATAGATTTATATATATGTGTGTGTGTTTTGTAAATAGATTTATGGGGCTAACTATTCATACGGCTAAATTTGTGGATAAGAAATGATTTCTAAGACATAATACCTCTCAGATTGAAAAATAATTCGCTATAATGATGTATCGGTTCTAGTTTGACCCGATTATAATTGTGATATGAAATAATATATGTATATAAAAAATTTTTTAGTTAGAATGAATCACCAAATGTGTTATGCTTATCATTAGAAAATGAATTTTAGACATCATTTCCTGCTGTATCTTCCGATTTCTTCTTTTTAGATCGAATAATGAAGAAACAGACAACTGCGATAATTGCAATTACGACAATTACACCAATAACAATACCTGCAATTGCACCACCACTCAATCCTGCAGATTTGGCCAATTCATAATTTGTATTGTCTTCCTCAATATTATATGAAGGAACTTTCTTGGTTAACTTTACTCCACCGATACTGTCTCCTTGGTAATTTGTTGAAGCAATTACACCTCGAATTGATTTAGCATTCGCAAGGAAATTTCCTTCGAGTTCGTTTGTTCCAAAATATGCAAATATATCAATATTTACATCACTAAATGCCTCATCATCAATAGATTTAACATCTTTTTCAATATATATTTTAATATGTAAATCGTCATCGGGACTTGCGTAGACATAATTACTCCCAATTGTGCAATCTCCACCTAAGCTTAAGATTTCAATAAATTTCAGATTTTTACAATGAACCTTCGGTAATTCCATACTTTTAGAACCATCTGGAACATTGTAAATTATTATTTCAGTTTCTTCTAAATATAATTCAATCAATGATTGAAAAATCAGTTTTTTCGCAGAAAAGGAATGTAGAGCCACAGATTCAACAGATTTTGGAATAATAGCATCTTTTAGTGAAGTATTATAAAATGCATAATCTGCAATGGTTTTAACTGAACTACCTAATGTAACCTTCTCAAGACTACCACACTTATAGAATGCACTATCACCAATTGTTTCAACAGAATCTGGAATAATAACTTCTGTTAATGCAGTAGAAGCAAATGCGGATCCTCCAATGGTTTTAACTGAACTGCCTAATGTAACTTTCTTAAGACTTTCCAAAAGAAAGAATGCTTTCTCACCAATTGTTTCAACAGAATCTGGAATAGTAACTTATGTTAATGCAGTTTTATAAAATGCAGATTCACCAATGGTTTTAACTGAACTGCCTAATGTAACCTTCTCAAGACTACCACATTCATAGAATGCTTTCCTACCGATTGTTTCAACAGAATCTGGAATAATAACTTCTGTTAATGAAGTATTAAAAAATGCAGATTCCCCAATGGTTTTAACTGAACTGCCAAATGTAACTTTCTTGAGGTTATAACAATTAGAGAATGCATTACTTCCAATTGAGGTGACTGTGTTAGAAAGTGTGATGCTTGTAATACTTGACTCAGAAAACGCATTGTCTGAAATGCGTGTAAGTGAATCTGACACAGTGACTGAACCAATTTTGTTGCATTTACTATAATCAGCATCATCGCTATTAATGGTAACATCACTAAGCTCTTCTGGACACTGGGATACTGTTAAGAACAGCAATGTGTACAACATTATTTAAAAATAAATGTTTTAAAAAATGAATAGTATCTGAATTCAAAAATTTAAAGATCAAATTCAGATGAAAAGTCAAGACCATCTGTGAGGTGATATTTATATCGTTTTGGACAAAATGGTGTTGCATGCTAAGTTCGGTCAACGATAGGAATTGAGGGGAAATTAATCATCGAGGAAGTACGATTATGTAAAGTAAAAAATGTTGTGGGATTTTTAATATTGTATATAATTTTATAATAAAATTTTTGTGAGACATTTTAAGAAGCACATATAATTTTTTGAATTTAAAAATTAAAGTAGTGTTGAATGAATTTATTGATTAATTTAATACGGATATTTCTCAAAATTAATCAAAAATAGGTTTTCAGAGAACTTTTGAGATATCTTTTCAAAATGTCTTTTTGAAAATATATAAGTATTATATAAAAAAAAAAAAAAAAAAAAAAAAAAGGTAGTGGGGCTTCCAGGCACTTCGTGCCTTCTAGCCCTAAGAATTTTTCCCAAGACCCAAGAGGAGGACCGAACCCCAGCCGACCAGCCGTTGACTTTTTTGTCAAGACTTCTTCATCGTAATGAGCGTAAATGACCAAAAAATAATGTTTAGGGTAGAAGGTTAGATCTAACCTCTTTTCTAACCTCTTTTCTAACCTCTTTTCTAACCTCTTGAATTTTCATGAATTTTCATGATTTCATCGTAAATGCTTTGTCACTTTTCTGTCACTTTTCGGGTAAAAACATTTTTATTATTATATATAAATGAATTTTACAAAACCACCGTTACCGTTCTTTGGAAATAAGAGTAGATGTAAAGATATTCTATTGAGAGAACTTAAGAAACTACCGAATGGTCTAACATTTGTAGATTTGTTCGGTGGAAGTTTCTATATATCCCATTTGTGCCATATAATATTTCCAGACTCAAAGATTATATGCAATGACTTCGACAACTATATGGACCGTCTCAAACATATTCCAGACACAAACAATATATTGAAAGAGTTAAAAGAAAAGATACCTATAGGTAAGATGGAACGTATACCATTAGATAAGAAAAATATTGTGAGAGAGGTTTTGAAAAAAGCAGAATATATAGACTGGGATAGTATATCTGCTAGACTATTATATAGTGGTTCTATAAGAGTTCATGACATTGAAACACTTATGTCAAAAGTTTTATATCTTAACTATACAAATGTTTTCAAAGAGGACATAGAAAAATATATTGAGGGTATAGAGTTTGTGAGATGTCATTGGACAGAGTTGTATGAAAAATATAAAGACAAGGAAAATGTTTTCTTTATAGTGGACCCGCCGTTCTATAACACATGGGATTTTCAATACCAAGTAGACTGGACTTTGAGAGACTCTTTAGAAACTTTAGACGTTTTACATAACTGTCCATGCTTTTACTTTACATCCGATAAAAGTGGTTTGGAAACCGTTATGAGATGGTTAGAGGACATACATGACTATGAGTTTAGATATGACAAGATAGAATATGAGAGAGGTCCTATAAACTGGAGAAAGTGTCATAACAAAGAAATTTTACTAGTAAGTAAATGTGGTTTGAAATAGGACTACTTGTTTTAGGTTTTTTCCATTGTGTCATTTATTTATTTGACGTGGCAGAAAGATATAGAGAATATGAAGATGAACCAATGCCTGCAAATGTTCAGCATATGTACTCGTAAGAGATATTTTTATCTAATATTAAATGGACGCACAGAACTTAGCGAATGCACAGCAACCTGGACAACCAAACCCAGAGAATATTCCAAATGAAGTTAGAATACAAACTGCAATGGCAAACTATGGTCAAGTGCCAACAGATGTACAAATGCAAACTGCCATGTCAAATGACGCTGCGTTAGGTTTGCCACCATGGTATGCAAATATGAGATGGAAAGAGTTTTATACAAACCCTGAAGTGGGATATAAACAACTTTATGCAGATGACGCGAACACAGGAGTTGACCCAGAATATGTTTTCTACCAGAGGAGAAACAGAATGTATGAGCTCCAGTTAAAGAATGCTATGGAACTCAACAGGAAACGTAAGAGACTAGGCGGACATTAGATTTTTACATATAGTAAAATGGGTTTCTTCAGTAGTATTGGAAACTTCTTCAGAAGAGTTGGAAGAGGTATATGGAATGGAATAAAAACCGTAGGAAGAGGAATTTGGAACGGAGTCAAAAATATTGGTAAAAGAGTAGGTCAGTTTGTTGGTATTATACCTAAAGACCCTGAACCAGAAGAACAAGCTCCTGTTATACAACAGCCTGAACCTGCACCACAGTCTAGTTGGCAACCAAATCCAACACCTCAACCGTATTAAAAAATTATATTTTTACCGTTCGATAGTAGTTGTATATGAAACTAAGTTCTAAGTAAAACGCATGGTATAATGGAATTATTCTTTTTCTTCCATCTGTAGTAAACCATACTTGAAAGTCTGAAATACTTCCACTTGGTGGTTCGTATAACTTTGTAGGTTTTTCGTAAAAGTCATTTGCCAAGCATAAAAAAGAGTTTTGTGCACCAGAAAATGAAGCATGAACGATAATAGCATCTGAGTCGAAAACATTTTCATACGTTCCATTAGGGTTTTCGACTTCATAAAAGTCCGGGTGTACTGGATATGCTGCAGGCTGATTTAACATCCTCAAAAATCTATACCATGCCAAGTTGTTATATTTTGTAGAAATATAAACGTTTTCTCCAAGGTCTTCTATTCTATTGATTTTAACAGTTGCATTTTTCCTGTCATATAAAATATCGAGATGGTACTCTCCTTCGTCAATGTTATACTGTTTTGCATATTCGATATAGATATCGTTTATTTTTTCTTGAAAAGCTTGAAGAGTTGTTTCTAAGTTTACAAGCAAACTAACTTGTAAAAGTTTTCCCTGTTCAAATTTCTCATACGTACGTTTTTCTTTGTTATAGTATCGAACTTCAAAACCGACCGTAAATGGGAAACCATGTATGGCTTCTGAAATGAACTTCATTCTACGAAAGCCAACAGCTTTTGTGACGGATGGGTCTCTTAGCCATCTTAACGGGTAGTCAAAACGATAGCCTTCATGCTTTACGGTCTCTGTCTCAAACTTTTGACCGACATTCGTAAAAAGTTCATCTAATGGTTTAGTTGTAGCAACTCTAGAATTTTCTTTTTCTATTGAAAGCATATTTTATCTAGAATAAAAATGTCAAATGAAACAGCGTCTATGAGAGAAATACAACACAACCGACAACTCATTATACAAGCTCTAAATAAGAACACAACAAACTTTTCAAACTATTCTAAGATATCTGAGTCATTGAAAGAAGGAAACTTAAAACTGACATTAAACCCAATGACAGATGAGTTTCTGTTTCAAGACAGTAAGAACCATACTGTTTGTATAAATCCAACAAAAGGAACTTTAAACGAGAAACCTATAAATGAACTTCTTTTGAAAGCAGATGTTGGCAACAAAGCTGACAAAGAATATGTAGACGATGCAATAGCAAAAGAAGAAGAAAGAGCTAACAAAGCTTATGCAACAAAAGAACATACTCATCCTGAACTAGCAGACAAAACATATGTTGACAATAAAATGTCAAGTGAAGTGACAAGAGCTGAAAACGAATATTCTAAAAAGACTCATACACATACCATTGCAAATATTGCAAACTTACAAGAAACCTTAAACAGTAAAAGTGCCGTTGGACATACACATACCATTGCAAATATTGCAAACTTACAAGAAACCTTAAACAGGAAAAGTGCCGTTGGACATACACATACCATTGCAAATATTGCAAACTTACAAGAAACCTTAAACAGTAAAAGTGCCGTTGGACATACACATACCATTGCAAATATTGCAAACTTACAAGAAACCTTAAACAGTAAAAGTGCCGTTGGACATACACATACCATTGCAAATATTGCAAACTTACAAGAAACCTTAAACAGTAAAAGTGCCGTTGGACATACACATACCATTGCAAATATTGCAAACTTACAAGAAACCTTAAACAGTAAAAGTGCCGTTGGACATACACATACCATTGCAAATATTGCAAACTTACAAGAAACCTTAAACAGTAAAAGTGCCGTTGGACATACACATACCATTGCAAATATTGCAAACTTACAAGAAACCTTAAACAGTAAAAGTGACGTTGGACATACACATACATCTTCTGAAATAACAGACTTAAACGTTAGCCTTGAAAATAAAGCAGATAAAACATATGTCAATGAAATATACCAAAGTTTGCTAGGAACAAAAAATATTGAAACTATTGTTGGTGACTTTTCTTTCAATGAAGAAAACAAATATTTTAGATGGCAGTTTGTACATTCCTTAAAAAATGGTATACGGTATAAACTCATTCCGAAAAATAACAATGAAATGTATGTAAGCTATAAAAAGAACGATGGTACACAAGTTAAAGTTCCATTAGACAACAACTGCTACTTAAACTTATACGGAGACGAACAAAAGAAATATTTCCGAGTTTATGAAATGACAGATATGACATTGCCTGACCCAGCTCCAGCACCATACTATTATGACTATGGAGATGACGTCAGAACACCACATGTAGATGAACAAAAGCTAACATTATATTTAGATTTTTATAGATATAAAAGATATAATGCAATAGAAAAAACGAGAATAGTATACTATTATGAAGATGACAGAAATAAATATTATAGTCAAGACTTTACCTACCCTGAAAACATAAGATTATATTATAAAAAATATTCTGACACAAACCAGAAGAAACCTGAAATAGTTGCACTATATTTTAAGTTCAAAAGAGACAATCCTATAATGTCTCATATGTTTGATTTAATGAACCCAGTAGGTTCTATTTATACATCTATGGAAGCAAGAGGTCCTCAAGTAATGTTTGGTGTTGGTGCATGGGAACAAATAGTCGACAGGTTTTTGTATTGTGCAAACTCTTCAAAGGAAACAGGTGGAAGTAAAACGATTTCAGGTGAAAATTTACCTGCACACAGTCACTACATAGATTTAAGTACATCTCAAGCAGGTTGGCATAAGCATAGATATTGGGATTGGTCAGGAATGACAAAAGGTAAAGGATATGATGTTAAAGACGACGTTAAGTTTGCTATAAATTGTTACTGGGATGACACTCAGGGAGAAGGAAACCATACACATTTCGTTTCAGGATATACGCAAACAACGGGACAAAGTAAAGAATACATGCCACCTTACATGACAGTTTACGCATGGTATAGAATTGCTTAGTCGTCATTTTCCACTTCTTTAGCATATTCGTCAGGAGTTGTCTTATATTTGTTAGGAACTGTCTTTGAAAGTATACCACCTTGAACTTTGACAAGTTTGAAACGAGGTCTGACAATAGTAGTTTTATCTTCTGCTTGCAGTCTGTACATTTTGCCATGTTTGCCTAAAACTTCATAATATTCTCTTGTATACTTTCTTCTATTTTTACGAACACGAAGGTGAGTACCTGTCGGGTTCCCATTGTTGTCATAGTCAATAGTATTTTCATATGGGTCGCGTTTAGGTATTTCTATTTTTACTTTGTCACCCTTCCGAAGTTTGAAGCCTGGCATTCTTTCTTGTTTGTCTCTTTTGACTAAACTATTAAATATATAGTCTTTCTCTAAGTCAGGGTTGTTTTTCATTTCTTCGGGGGAGTGGTTTCCCAAACCTTTTTGTTTACGGCTATTGTAAATATTTAAAACTTGTCTCATCTTTGCCATGGAGAAGTGTCTGTACTTGTCGTCATATGACATCTCACCTACCTCACCACCTTGTGGTTGGTTTAAGTCTCTTAAGGATACCCTTACGTGTCAGATTTTTTGCGCATACGAAGAAGTCATGCTAGACATGAGCTATAAACCTGAAATTTTAGCAACATATTTAAAACTTTTTAAACTACAATACACTTTAATATTCAAGAACAAAAATATTCTTTTTAGAAATTACATAATTATTTTATGTGAAATCTATATAAAAACATATTTTGCGAGCGTAACTTTTTTCTTTATAAGCACCTTATATGACTGATAAACTGTGAAGGCACATAATTGTTAATTCATAGAGTTGATATGTTTCCAAAATTGAGAGGAAATTTGAAAATTGAATACCCTTTCAATTCAATTTTCAAAAGATATCAGCTCCTTCAATAATTGAAGGACGATTTTGATCATTTGCTCTTAAAACAAGTATGCCATGGAGAAAAAAGTTACGCTCGCAAATCTGAAATATAACTATCATATAAAAAAATTAAATTTCTAATTTTTTACTCTATAGATATTATTGGCCACTTGTGTAATGCATAAAAGTTTATGTCATATGCATACATTTGGAAGTATGGGAGACGAGGGAAATTACTTCTATGAGGCACTAGGATTTTTAAAAATTTCTCTATCGGACTCACCATTCAATTTCTCGAAAATTAAAAAAAATCAATAATAGCTAAAATGTATTATGCATAACAAATTTTAATGTTACACGGTATTTTTTGAACTTCATGACATGAATTTTCTTTATATTATTTTTTTTTTGGATTTTCTATGATTTATGTGATAGGCTGGAACAACATTGTAAGTGCAATGATATCATTTATAGAGAAATCTAAAACTTCAGCATTCAGAACTCGCAACCACAAAAATATTCATTTGCTAAGTAAAGTAAAGTTGATTAAGTTCGACACTTAGCTTTTATACGTAAAACCAAGTGTGTATTGTTATTTCTTGTTAAATTATTGAGAAAAAAATAAATTGTAAGAGAAACGATACTGATTATTGAAATAATATTGAGAGTAGCTGCAGATTTCTTCATTAACATGCCGGAAATTTGTTAATCTTGGTTTTCTATCATAAAATCTGTCGAAGAATCTAAAAACGGAGATATGAAATAGAGATCATGTAAATCTAGAGTATCCTGTCAGAAAAATAGACTAAGCATGTAACCCTTTTTTGGTCATAAACACTTTTTACCACTTAGTCATACAGATGATCATTAAATTTAAACGAGCACTTTTTGTCAGAATTTATTCTTTTACAAAGACAGAAGATTTTAGTATTATTTAATATTAGTGCTGTAGCAAAATTCAAAAAACGGTGAAAATTCAGTGAATTTGTGAATTCACATTTTTTTTCGACATTTTTCTTGATATATCCATGCACATTAAGAACACAGCTTTGATACGCTTAAAAAAGCATATTTCATATGAAATTGTTAAAGAAATAAACAATTTATATAAAAATTGCACTTATGGGCAGTTTAGATATATAATTTATATATAACATATATACAAATCCATAGACAAAGTGCAATAACTACAATGTTGTAGAAAATTACAGCAGAAATACTGACTTTTTGAAGGATAATAAGAATTCTTCTAAATGTTGTATTTTTATAATTTGATTGATTTTTTTTACTATTTCATTAATCTTTTATGAATAATAATTATTTTTAATATATGTGCTATTAAAATTTCAAATTTTGACTAATATATCTAAGTTATCTGAACGAAACATTTAGAAAATATCATACTTACATTGAAATAGCAAGTAGAGCATATTAATAGCAAGTTTCTTGGCTTTATATCTATCATCTATTGTTGTTTGATCAAACAAAATTCACTCTATTATATGGTGTCAATTAATTAAAACAATTTTTAATAGTTATTTATTTAGTGCGAATAAGTGCAAACTCATAAATGAATAACTTAATAGTAGAAATGAATTATCTGATATAAATCTCACATTTTGTCCATCAGAAATACTTTAATTGCATACGCATAACTATTAGTAATACGTCTGGAGTGTCAATTAATAACAATCCCACAACAAGTAAAATTCAGATTTTTATTAAACTTATTTTTTCCTAAAAGTTTTCTCAAATTACTATATATACATATGTGGATAAAATAATAGTAATATTGTAAAAAATTAGATAATTTTTTTTATTTGAGAACCTCTCAAAAGTTCATTCAATTTATCAATTGTTTCAGTTTGATGTATATTCATTTCTGGAGCCTAAAACTTTAGCAATCATGACAATATCATATTCTCTTTCTAACTACGCAATGTAAGGGTATCCTTAATAAATAATGTTTAGTTCCACCGAAAATTTTGACAAAATAATTTAGTGAGTAAATCTATATATAATAATTGTTATGAAGCATTTACCATCGATGGCTTCTTTTCTCAAAAATTGAAAACTTATTCGCAATTTAAATACATTAATATAATTTAAGTATATATTCAAAATATAGAATAATTTATACAATAAAATATCTACCGATAAAATAACTCTCACAATTTCAAAAACTACACATATTGCTATCACCATATAATATTCATTCTGGATAATTTTAAGTTTTTTTTTTAATTTTTTCAATGACCCTCTTAATTTATTCAATAATACTTGACAAGAATCAATAGAGTATCAATGATCGAATTTTTTAAGCTATTTTATGAGATTGCCTTTGAAATGCGGTATCGAACAAGGCTTCCCTATTGGCTTAAATGGATTCGAGAGTTCTTCAAGTTTTTTCAATTAATTTTTTTCTATGTTGATCCATGCAGAGTAGAATCCATATCGACCAGATCACCCACAATCTTACGACTTATAAATAACGCCGGTCTTCTTAATTCCTGGATGGATGACGTCAGATTTACTTTATCATCAACATTACTTCTTGTTTTTCTTCAATCGATAGTAATTTTCATGTTCGTGCACAGTACCGTACGAATCAAAAAAGGTTTATATATACTTCAAAATGTTTTGTATTTGTATTTGATTTTTATTGACGTTTATATACCAATTGTTCAAGTACCAATTACTTTCCAATTAGACAGACAACTCGTTTATCTTATCCAAACACATAGTTTCCTTGATTTTCTTACTTTCTTGCTTTTATTAATCGCATTTTGCGGAATTTTTGTTATTGATTACTACGCAAGTGTTTTCATTCATTCAAGAATATTCGTTGCACACTCAATGATCGATGATTACAATGGAGATACTGAACCATTGTTATTTTTAGCGAGATACTTATCAATAACAACTCAAATACTATTGCAGCACTATTATAATCCAATGCTTGAATTCGTTATACTCGTAAGTTATCCAATTTTCATTATAATTTTACTTGAAATGAGAATCTCAAAAGGAACACATATAACGGTATTTGGAGCAATATTAAAAGATTCTCCATTATTTGCATCGATATTTACTTTGATTTGTCAAAATCATCCAAAATATTTTTTAGTCCTTGGATTTCTGCCTTAATTTCAATAGTCTGCTACACGATAATCTTCTTGTTATACAAATTATTCCTTCGAAAATACTCTTCAATGATACTAAACGAGAAATACGAACCTCCTTGGTGGCTTCCACTGAGAAACTCATTAGTTATGAGGATTGCAACACAAACAACAGCAGATATAAAATGTTTCGAGCTTTACACGACATTTAGAATGAAGCAAAACCCAGAAGAATTCATAGAAATTTTAAGATTTCTTGGAATCTTCAAATCTCAACGCAGCAAGCTTTTTTTGATGCTATCGATGTGGAAAGGCAATTCAGTGTATTTCGATTACCAATTCTATGTGCTTTCAAGGCTATTTCAATCTTATGAAATTCCATGTCCTAAAAATTACATAGATATACTTGATAGATTACACAGACATTATTTAGTAACATTAAGTTTGTTTTGGCAAAACAGATTTGAAAAAAATCCAATCAAATCGTTTGTTTTCGCAACGAAATGTGCTTTTACTCATACAGAACTCATCAATCTTTCAAAGTATCTCATGTTTGTCTATCAATACGATGCAAATGTCGCTAATGCTTACTCAGAAATCGCATTAATAGCAATGGGAAAGCCATTACAGTCAGTAATATATAGGAGATACGCAACTAAACTTTATGAAAACCCCGGTTCAGTTGTTGACCCTATTTTCCGAAGATTTTCGAATTATTATCCGATTTCTTCTGAAGCTTACAACATAGAGATATCATCATTGAATGAAGAAAGTAAAAGCGAAAATGATAATGCGAGCAGCACCTCGAGATTAAGATTCCATTTTGATAATAAAAGTGTAATCTACAGAGATGAAGAGTCTGACAACAGTCCGATGGCGATGTTCGTGCAGAAGAGTAACAGATTGAAGAGGTTTTCAATCTACTTCTCATTATCTTTTGCTATTTTATGGTCAATAATTTTTTCACGAAATATTTCATTAATTCGAAGTTCAAAGCTCGTCAAAATCGAAGAAGCAAAGAGGTTATTGCAGCTTTCAGCGGAATACAGTGTCAATTTAACTGCTTGTTTCATTGTTCAGCCTATTTTGTCATCAATTGCTTCATCAAATTTACAAAATTTTCAGTCTTTCAATTTTTTGAATGGTTTACAAAATTACTAAAATTTGAATAGTTTACATGACCAAAAATACAATATAATTTTAGATGATTTAAACATTACTGATGAAAATGATCCGAATCAATTTTGTGAAAAAGTTATGATAAAAATTTTCAAAGGAATCGAACAATATCGATTTGCATTTCGTGATGATTACTTCTTCCATGCCCGTGCCATAGGTGTTGCTTCTGATTTAACAACTTTCTTTTATACGAAATTTTCCGGAAATTGCCATATTTTAGCAAAATTATTATTAAATCATACATCGGTGATATATGAAATTATTGATGGCTTGAACAAGACATCCATGGAATTCAACAAATTAATACAAGAACAAATTTCTGAAAACGAAATTAAGAAAATTTACAAAAAATCTTTTCTTGTTATTGTTGTTTGTACATTTTTAGGTGTAATCGCATCAATAATGACAACAATTATGCAAATGAACATAGTTTTCAAGGATTTAATTTTTGGGTTCAAAAGATAGATTGTCATTTTTGTTGCTTAAAAAATCTTTGGAAAGTTGGGATTTGTTTAGATTGATTTATCCTTTAGAAAAAAGTGACAAGACGATAGAAAATCCGGTACAAACCTCATTTGTTGAATCGCCACATCAAATGAAAAGTCGTATAAAAGTTGCGAAGTATTCAAGTGAAACGAATTTGAATTTGCCTGCAAAAAGAAGTAAAAGTCATCATGTAAATTTACAAGATACAAAATTGACGATAAGTTTTATTGGCGCCGATCAACTTTTGAAGCCTTCTCAATTTGCATTAATGGGTCCTTTTGGTTCTGATTCGTCGAGTACGAAATCGAACTCAAATGATACTTCTGAATGTGATTTTACTGAATCTGAAGTTACTTCTCCTATTTCTCCACAAAAAGAAGAGAAAAAAGAAGAACAAATGGTAAGTAACATGGATTTCGTAACAAAAACAATTGAGTCGACAAAAATGGAATACAAAAATTTCTATTTCTTGATTGTTTTGGTTTTTCTTGTTCCCTGGCTTGTCAAACTTTTTATGGCTGTTTATTTGGGATACGCTTTGACTTATGAGAAAATGAATGAAAAATACGTATTGGAAAACATTTCTTCATTGTATTCTCAGTTACAACATATTCCAAACATTATTTTTAATAAGTTTGATACAAAATACAACAAAAATTTGGAAAAACTTTACAATGCAAAATTTAAATTTATTCAAAAACCTGACAAAAATTTGACAGAAAAACATCAAAAATCCGACAAAACCAGAAAAGAAAAATTTATTAATAATGTTGAACAAAATAATACAGATCTAGATAAAGAAGAGTTTGATGAAAATTCTAAAATTTTGAAAGGAAAATCTGACAAAAAATTGACAAAAAAACATCAAAAATCCGACAAAAATGAAAAAGAAAAATTTGTAAGAAAATTTGAGCAGAATGATCTAAATCTAGATAAAGAAGAAATTGAAGAAAATTCTAAAAATATTAAGGAAAAATCTGACAAAAATAATGAAAGCAATAATGACAAAAATTTAGTTAAAAATTCTTTCGAAAAGGATGATTTGAAAAATAATGAAAATAGAAAATCTGACAAAAACGAAGATATTTTTATTGAAAATGTTAAAAAATCTGACAAAAGTGAAAACAGTAAAAATGATGGTAATCAAAAAGGGGAAAATCAAAAAATAAGCAGAGATGACTTTATTCCAACACTGAGAACAGAATTCTACAATATAAACTTTACTTTGGGAGAAAGAGAGATTGAAAAGTATATCCACAAATTATCTTTGTATTACAAAGAAATTTTGCCACTTTCTGACAATTTTGACATTATTGATTTGAACATTCAAACAGGGATGAAAAGTTTCATTTTCATTCTTATTTTCTTTTATATTATTTTTGCTTTTGGTGTCTACAAAATGGAGTATTTCTACCGCATAGGATATGAAAGTTTATTCCATTTTCCCTTGAGATATCTTGAAGATTTGTTGAAAGAAAGAGATGAACCTCCTCCTCAAAAATTCCCAACAAATTGCGTGCTGGAACTTGTCATTGGTACTGCCACGAATCTAATAAATAATGTCAGTCCTAATCTCTACAATTTGACGGGCTGTTATCCATTGGATGTAATTGGAAGAAAATATGACGAAATATTCCCAATTATTGAAAATCGAAAACGTGAAAATTCTGAAGAAAACCGAACATTTCATATGAATTTTAGGAAATCGAAGAATTTTATTGAAGAAAGGAATGTCGTTGGAAGAATTACGAGAGTTATATTATATGATAAATACGATGACAAGAATGATATTGTTAATTTGCTTTCACAGCACATTCCTCATGAGATTGCGAAGATTTACTGCGAGGAAGGTAATATTTCGTGTTGTGAATCACAAGGGTATTTCATGGTTTGCAAGTACAACAACACAGAATACAACAGCAGTATTGAACAAGTGTTCAAGAGCATCCACAACATCATGCAGTGCTATTCCACCGTTCATTTGATTGGCATTGAAGGATCAATTCTTCGATTTGTTTTCCGTGGCTCGGATCGAAGTGTTCCTCTGTTTTTCATTCGAGATTTGCTTAACATTTCAGTTTGCAACCATCATCTTGACAATTTTGTTGTTTTTTGTGGCAGTATTTCTAGTGAAATTGTTATCCGTGATGAAGAACCATATGTATTTAGTTTTGTTTCATCTCAATCAAAATCAGAATCTGCATCATTTTATGTTTGCAATCGAAGTATTTTGTTTGTTGATGACTGTTTGCATCTTTGTGAAGAATTTTCAGGCGAAATCATTGAAGGAAATCATTCATTACGCGGTTTCCAAATCAAATTCGAAGATCTTGAAAATGTTGTTTGTAATATATATTAATTTTTATTCTTATTTGTAAACAATTATGTATGTTATTATTAGTTAATAATTATGAGTTTTATTACATCATTATAAGTTTTGCTTTTGGTTTCTATAATTAATTAGAAATGGTAGAAAATATGCAAATAAACAAAGTTGTTTTTCCATATATCATTTGGAACTCCAGCTTTGAAAACTTATAATCATTGTGTAACTCTGACTCATATTATTGGATATGTTGAATTTGACTAAATCTAGATTTAGTTTTATTTAAAATATCGATGTTTATAGTTTTTTTTATCGAGTCAAAAGCCAAATGCTTTTTAATTGCGAACTTTTTATCAAGCTTGTCATTTATTCCATTTTCAACGAATTTTATATCATATGGAAAACTATAATCAGTCATTATTTATTCATTCTTCGAAATAATGGGAGAAGTTTGTGACCGAATAACGAAAAATTCAAATATCAATTCTATAAGAAAAAAAATAACTATATATTTTTGTTGTTTTACTTTACTTTCCTGATTTCTAACTCTCAGATTTAATACAACAATATAATAATTAATTAGATGAAAATTCGATATTTTTATTCAATCCTTAATCTTGCCAATGGCTTCGCATAAATCAGTTGGGCATAATTGCCCTTTCCAATTAGCTTGAGAACTGGGAAAACTGATTGGGCCTCGATCAGGTCCAATTTTTTTGCTTTAAATATAAAAGAATTCTGTGAATCAATAATAGCCTTTAGTTCCTTTACTTCTTTCCTTAGCTGACAAACTTCTTTGTATATTTCATCGATTGAATTGATCTCTAAATCTGCTGCTTTAATTAGTGCAATTAATATTAATAGCAACATAAATTTTTGTCAATTCTGATCAAAATTAAACTTCATTAAATTTTTCTTCAATCATCTTTTGAATACCAGATAACATATTTTTGCAATAAAATATCAGATAATTCTACAAGAAAAATTATAAAGAATATATAAACTTCAGAATTTTTTTCTCGATTTCATGAGTATCAATGTTGCTTTTTCAGGGATACTTAATGATAAATGTTATCTATCTTCATACCATGAATGCAGTTTGTCTCTAAATTATTTTTTTCTGGCACTTTCAATAGTATTTTCATTATTTTTAGGATATATATGTGTTATCCTTATCTCCCAAAGTAATATATTCCATAGGGGTAATCGTGATAAAGGAATAATATTTTGTATTTTTATGGAATTAAATTTATTCGTTAATTCGATTTTATATATTTCAAATCTCCACATCTTTACTGACTATGGGACTTCGAGCACATACCAACTAAAAGAAATTCTCCGTTTGCTGGAAACATTTCCGGTTTTAATTTATTTTAACGAGATTACTAAAATTCTGGTTATTTTTGGCATTAAAATAGCAAAATTACTTTATTACATGTCCATATGCATGATTATATTATTGGGATCATTTGCATTAATCTCATATGTTTTAAATATCTTTAATTTTAATCAACAACACGAGAATTACGCAAAAATCATTTCCCACCTTTTAGGAAATTTGATTTATGTTCGGCAAACAGTGTATATAGCTGAGTATTTGATGCTATGCTATACTTTTATATTCTCAAGTATCAAAGATTTCCTTGATAAATCACGCAGAACAAAACTCAAAATTTTATTATTTATCTTTCCAATGTTTTTATTTTTAGATATTATACAGAAGTTCTTTTTTTATAAGTCTCACTATTGGATTCGACACACGATTCTTATCCTTAATTTTTCTCAGATTTATACAAATTTTTCCGATTTGAAAAATCCTTATTATTATATATATTGGTTTTATCAATGTTTTTGTAATATTATTCTTAACATTATGCCATTATTTATATTGTGCATTTTATCAATTCGAGCTGATCAAGAAGAACTCTCTGAAATAAAGGTGGAAAAGGAATTATGCATTACTTTAGAAATTTAGAAGCAAAATTCATAAAGTCTTTTCCACGAAGTAATAGTAGTTTGTAATACATTCAATGCCTGAAAAAATTAAGAAATCATATTAATTCATACAAGGTGAAGCTGATAATTTCAAAATTTAATTGCTTATATACGAAATTATATTCTTCTTTGAATATCCTTTCAGAAAACTGTCACAGAAAATACAACATTAAAGTCAGATGGACCTAAATTGATTTAAGGATAGATTCTGACGATCGTATTTCGAATATTTTTGACTTCGAAAATATCTGTATTGACAACTCCAAACAAATATTTAATACACTTTCATTAAGTAAAGTAGTAGATGAGTGCGGGTTTAGTGACTTTTTTTGTTACATCTATATATAGACGATGCATTAAAATATATTTATTTATAAATCATTAAAGAATTAACATTAATTTTAAAATAATTTATTTTTTTATCTTTTATAAAAGAAACTATATATAGATGATGTCAGATATTCCGCGATTAATTAAACATTGTTTAAATCCTGAATGGGTTAAACTTCAATTTAAAAATGAAGATTGTGAATTATTAAATGAATATGAAAGCCAAAATAAGCTAATGAGGTATAAATATAATGATAAAGAATATTTAATTTCATGGAATCAATGGAGTCATAATCAAAGACCTCATAAACGAGAAGAAGAAATTGAAAATAATGAAATGGAAATCATTGATGACATTAAAGAGGATGGAATTCCTAAATTTTGTAGAAAAACCTTTAGAACTAAGTTAGGAGCATATAAACGTAGAGTATTAAATCCTGAATATCTTAAACATCAATTTAAAAAGGAAGACTGTGAATTATTAAACGTTAATGAATATGAAAATGCTAAATCAAAACTGAGATATAAATATATTGGAAGTGATGAAAGGTGTAAAGATAAAGATAAAGTTTATACAGTTTCATATAATAACTGGCACACGTTAGGGATTAGAAAACATTTAGGAGATTATGGTAAAAGTTCCGAATTCTTCAAATCTAGTATGTATGAGAGAGTAAAAGAAATCAGATATAATTATCATTCATGAATGAAAAATAAACTTTAAAAATTCATGTCTTACATTTTTGAATAATTTATTTTTAATTCGTATGAAAATGAGTGTCAAGACTAACGACGTTAAAAAATTGGGATTCACAAACGAGGAAATAAAGGATATATTAGAGGAGGCGAGTTATGAAGTTAATAAATATTATTTAAGAAATTGTCAAAAATTCGCGGAGTTATTAAATGATTTAGATTATGATGGAAAAATGAATAAAGATGATGTTATAAATTTCTTATATCCCACATCTGAAGAAGAAAAACCTAAAGAACCTGATGTTTTCCCTGAATATTATGAAGAACGGATTAAAGATGATGAATATGATGAAATTGAAAGACTGGAAAAAATAAGAGATGAAATAGATGAAAAAATTAAGGAATTAAGAGAAGTTGAAAAATATAATGAGAATGAAGTAGAGGGTTTAATGAATATCCCAGCTTCAGAATCAGAAGTTCAAAAATCTCATGAAGAAAGATATAAAAATTACTTTTTGGAATCTACTAAAAATTTATTAGATGGTGAAATAGATGAAACACTTTCAGAAGAAGGCACAAAATTTATTCATAAACATAAACTTCAGTTTATTGACGATGAAGAATACCCCTGTATATTACTTTCACCTCCTCTTGATTCTGAAAAATTCAAAAAAGCACTGAAAAATGTAACATATGCAACAAATACGATTAAGAAAGAAGACCATGATATTTACACAAATTATTATTTAAATAAATGTACAGGTGTTGATAAAGTTTTTGATTTATTAGATAAAATATCAAAAGAAACAATTGGAACCTATAAAATTTTATGTGATTGTGGTTTCATTATTGAAGATACCAATAATGTTTCATATGAAAGAACAGCACCGAAGGAAGACGAAGTGGAAAGGTCTATACCATTCGTTATTAAGAATATAAAAGATATGAAAACGTATAAGCATTATATTTATTCATTTATTTCAGAAAAAATGGAAGCAACCCATAAAACATCTTCTCATCATTTTATAGCTATTCATACATTCCTTTTCAAAGTTGTGAAATTAAATAAGACAGGAATTAGATTTAATGTATCAGGGTACGCATTCTTGAGTAAATTAAAATGTATTCGTCACGTCGCAGATGATAAAAATTTATGTGTTCTTAATTCATTTTATGGACTTTAGCCCTGGACTTTAAAAAAAAATAAACTTTATTTTTATTTATTTTTTAATTTTTTATTCTTACATAAATGAACAAAAACGGAACAGCTAAAATGAATGATAATCAAATAAGAGCCGAAGGTAGAAGGTTATTTAAACGCTTCTATAACATTCCTGATGGTGTTAATCCTAAAACTCGTAGAAGTTATTTAAATGAAGCCATAGATGCATATGAAGGATTTGACATTTCATCAGAAAGTGAGAGGTTAGCAAGAATGTTAAACGTTAATATTGATTTTTATTATTGTGACCCTCAACCAGAAGACGTAGACATAAATAAGGTAGACTTTCCATTAGTGGAATCAATAATGATAGATCCAGAATTTGAAACAGTAAATATTTTATTAACACAGAGTCCATGTGGAAAACTTCACGCTGACAGAATAACAGACGTTGAAGCACTCACCGGCTATAAAGTTTGCCCCTTTTGCAAAGAAGAAGTATATTCTATCCGTGATGACCCAGAAAGGAAAAACCAAAGAAGATTTTTAAAACATTGTGAGAAATGTAAAGAAAATAATGGAAGATTAATTCAAGACGTTCAATTGCAAAACACACAACAACCATATGCACCACATATCACGAAACAGAAGATATATCAATGGCTATTAGCTCACAATTTGCAGGAATATTATAAACCAACAAGATATTATATTACTTTTGACTTCGAAACATTAGAGACTAAAGAAGAACTTCAACTTTCTGAATGTGCAACTTTGAACGCTTACTTAAAACCATTTATGGTATCATCAACTGTCAAAATAAAGCCGCAAACGGACTCTTTGAGTCCTGAAGGTCTTTCAGACCGAAGCGGCGAGGTCGTAGACCGTGATAAAACATTTACGAGGAATTTTTGCTTAACATCAAGTGATTCGTTCATCTCTGATTGGATTGAATTTTTATTTTCAACCTGTTCATTAGTTGCTAAATCAAATATTGAACAATATGAAGAATTAATGAAGCCGCAAACGGACCAAACGGTGGGGACTTTGTCTCATACATTAAATGAAAAACAGAAGGAAGCATTTAAAGAACTTCTAGATGAGGAATTCAATAAAGTGAATATCATAGGTTTTAATTCGGGAAAGTTTGATTTAAATTTAATTCTTCGTGATTTAAACACTGCAAAATGGAAAATAAAATCAATGCTGGGTTCTTCTTCTCAATTTAAGCAAATCATTGTAAAGAAAACAAACTGTCCATATGAATTAAGATTTATTGACATCAGAAATTATATAGCGGGTGGAACATTAGACCAATTCACTCAAGATTTCGGAAACAATAAATCACGTGTTAAATCCTTTTTCCCTTATCAATTCATCACATGGGAGAATTACGAAGATGAATTATATAAAGTGGAACCATTCACTCAAGATTCATTTTATTCAGCATTAACTCAAGAAACAATATCCGATTCAGATTATCAAATATATCTCAATGATGCTAAAAATTTTAAGAATAGATTAGAATATTTTATTCATTATTGCAATAAAGATGTTGAAATTATGATTGACCCAATTGATAAAATTATTGAAGAAACATTTGTTTATAAAATTGATATGCTTCATAATCTTTCTTTATCATCGAATGCTTCAATGATTCGTTACGCTTTAGCATATAAAGACTTTAATCCTAATGAAAAATATCCTGAGGAAGAGATAGAATCAAGTTTTGAATTAACGAAAAAGTATTGGAAATATAAAATTGAATCATATAAGAAACAAGATGAAAAAGCAGAAAGGAATACTAAAAATAATGTTTCAATGGATGATTTTCAATACTATCACGATTTAATCCTTTCATCTAAATGCAAAATGTGTGGTAAAGCGTTTACATATGCAAATAAACCAACATTGGATAGAATCGATAATGAAAAACCACATACCAAAGAAAATTGTCAGTTAATGTGTTGTTATTGTAATGTCGTAAAATCAAACAAAGATGAAGATGTTCAACGTTTAAGAATCAATTTAAGAAATTACGCATTAAAAAATAATTTACCAATGACTTTAGATTCAGTTGAAGCTTATCACATTCTCCGTAATGGAATTACTGGTGGGTTATCAAATGTTCAACATAGAGTAAATCTTAAAGGAATCACGCACATTAATAAACTTTCATATAGTCCAGAAACTAAAACTGTATCAAATGAGGACACTTCCAACATCATGACTCATTTCGTTGGTGTTGATTTTAATTCATTATATCCTTCATCATTTTCATCTAATCCCCATGATTTTATTCAATATACTGACCATAAAATGTATATGCCGGGAAGATTGAATGGAGTTATCATTTGTGATACAGCAACAAAGAAAGCAAAAGCACTGGGAATAATTAGAAAGAAAAATACTTTATTCGTGGCTGAAGTAAAGGGTCACATTGATGAAAAATACATTAATGATTACATAAACTTTTTACCGATAATAAGAAACTTAGATATTATCACAGATGAAAAAACAATTGGTAGTTTTATGTATAATTACATGAAATCAAACAATTTACCAGTTGACCAGAAACAGAGAAAATTAACTCAGTTAGCATCAACACACAACCAATATCAACCATTTTCTTCTTATTATCTATGGTATCTAATAGACAGATTTCATTTTATCATTGATGACATTCAATCAATTTTAACATTTACTAAAAACACTTGTTTTAATGAATTTGCGAACGAATTTATGAACGAAAGACAAAAGGCTGAATTAGAAGGAAATAAAGGAAAAAGTTTATTTTGCAAAATTTCACTTAATGGATCATATGGTTACGATGCAATGAATACACAAAATTACGCAAAGACTAAAATAATGAATGCACAGAAGGCACGCGTTGCATGTATGTCAAATAAGTTTAAAAACATAAGAGAAATAGGAGAGGATACGTATCAAGTGATGCTCAAAGATAGATTTTATAGATGTGATACATGTTTACAAGAGGCATTTTTTACTTTAGATAACGCAAAATACTGGTATTTGGTTTTCATTTATGATTTTATGTATAAATGCTTGGATGTTAATCGTTTTCATTTCATTGAAGGTGATACTGATTCATCTTATTGGGCAATCGCTGGCGACCCAAATCTTCCTAACACTCAAGCATTTCAAGCAATTGTTACCGATAAACAATTTTATGATAAAAACATTTTCAAATTCGCACCATTTGATTTCTTCTGTTTTGATGAGAAATTTAAACCTAAATTAAAGAATAAAGCTGAAGAAAAAGCACATGAGAAGAAGTTATTGGGTTTAGCAATTGAGAAACAAGGTGATAACATGGTTGCTTTATGCCCAAGTGTTATACATCATTCAACGGTTCAATTGATGGAAGTGATTTTAAAAAGATTGCACAAAAAATGAAAGGTGTTAGTTTACGACAAAATAAACAATTAACACCTAAAAATTATTTGGATATAATAAATGATAAAGTGATATTTGATGGTCAGAATATTAATTTACAACTTAAAAACGGGTCAATGACTCGCTTAACAATCGGTAAGACTGCATTAACAGGAGCACACACTAAGGCTGTATGTTGTGAAAATGGATGTTGTATGCCATTTATTTAATACAATTTAAAAATGTAGGGGTTGAGTCATGAATTTAAAATTTTATTTTTAATAAAATACCACAGAAGAGACAAAAGGAACCGTTAATGATGTGATTCAATATGTAAATAATGGTTTTGATACTATGATTCAAAGAGGTGGGCACCCTTAAAACATTTATTTTATTTTTATATAAATGGATAATGTAGATTTAGAAATTTTAATTGATGATTTAGTATTTAATCAAAATTTTCTTGATTATTACGATTTAAAAGCATATCTCCAAAAACATAATAACAATATAACGGGTGATGATATGGATTATTATTATCCATATTATAAAAATGAAATTTTGAAATATCATGATAAAATAATTTCTAAAATTAAAGACAAAATTAAAAATAATAAATATACAAAGGGAAAATCTAAACCACAACTTAAACAGTTGAAAGATTTCAAAAATAAAGTATTAACAGAAGAAGATATTGATGAATTATATAAATTATATAATCCTGAGCCGCAAAAGCCAAAGAAGAAAAAGCCGAAAACAACACCAAAAGAGAAAGTAGCAAATGTTCAACAGCTAAAGGTGCAAAACGCCCAGGTCCTTCAGACCATAAATGATGCACAAGCTTTAATTTATGATTCATTAGTTAAACCATATTCAGCCCGACTTTTAAATGAAGATCAACTTTTGGAATTCATCCTTCAACATAAACTCGAAGCGGGAAAGTATATCAAACCTTTATATACAGCATATTTAAAACAAATGAATAGAATACATCCAGAATTAATGAAAGTGGGTGTCAAATCCAAAACTTCATCATCCAAAATCAAAGCGGATAAAATTAAACCACTTACAACACCAAAACCTCCAACGACAGTACCTCCTCCCCCTTCAGTTAATCCTTCATCATTCACTTTATTATATCCATTTCAAACATTAAAGAAGCAAAAAGATTTTAAAAAGGATTTCAAGATATTAAATAAACCAATTGACCCAAAAATTCAACCGTTAAAGGAAAAATTTAGTCGCCCTTCATTTGCACCATATCCATATTCATACGAAATCGATCATCTGGAATATTCAAAAGGAAACATTACTTATTTATTTGCCATTAACATTAACACTAGATATTTATATTGCATTCCAGTGAAAGGGAAAACAGAACAGGAAACAAGAAGAGCTATTCAATACTTACTAGATCATGAAAGAGTAGATAATATCAGGGGTGATGGTGATAAAGGATTTCAGGCAGCTATGGCTCATTATTTCCCACAAATTAATTTTTACTTCTCATCTTCTCCATATACGTTTCATAATAAAATAGTTGATGCGGTAATGAGAACTCTTAGAGATGCGTTGGGGGTTAACGGTCAGATATACTGGGATGGAAATCATGACTCCATCATACAACAGTTAGTATATTATTACAATAATACATGGCATAGAACAATAAACATGAAACCAGTGGAAATGAAAAATGATATTTCAAAAGAATGGGAATATATTAGAAAGCAAATGGAAAGGTTGAATGATGTTAAACATGAACAAATTAATTCGGGGCTCATGAATTTTAAACAAGGGGATAAAGTTTTGATTCATCTCGATTATGGAAAAACTGATAAATTAATGACAAAAAGAAGACGAAGATTTGACACAATAGCCGAATTTGTTAGATATATTAACGGTAATGCATTAGTTGAAGTTGGTGATAAATTAATAGAAATTCCGATTTATTTTATTACTCCATTATATTTAAATAATATTTAATTTTTTTTATTTCGTAAGAAATGAGTGACAACGAAGCAGCCAAGAGTCCAGACGATGAATATAAAAAGAAACTAAACAGAATTAAATCAAAAATATGCTATTACAAAAAGAAGCCGCAATGCAGTGGGGCTGAAAACGATAAAGAGAGGAAAGAAATAATCGAAAAATTAGAAACTTATCGTTCAATCCTTAAACTGGGTGAAGCAAAAATAAAAGAATTTAATAGAATAAATAAATTGATTGGAAGAGATGAATTTAATAAAGATGAATTTTTAAACTCAATCCAAATTTAATTTTTATTCCTCTTCGACAACATCTCTCTTTCCATCATTACTGCATAACCACATTTTCTCAATTTTAGTGGTTTGTTATTTTTAACATGTTCTTGCATCATTTTTATCATTTCCTCCCTTGTTATGATTCGTGGTAAATTTTGAGCTTGTGGGGTATTCATTTATGATAAAAATAAAAATTTGTTATCAGTTATTTTATCGTTAAGTGACTCAAAGAGTCCGGAGACAAAGTCTCATGTTTTTAGGTTATTCAATAATTAATTATTTTTGAATAACTGGGAAATAAATTTACGTCAAATATGCAATTTATAAAATCTTATGTCGACAGGCTACGTAGCACAGTGGTCTAAGGTGGTGTTATGGAGGGGTCAAGGTCTGTGGTTCGAACCGCGACGGCGCCGTATTTTCTCATTTTCTTTGTTTGTCTTGTTTGTCGTGAATAAAAAGTGTCATAAAAGTGCTCTATCTTCCACGGGAATAAATAAAAAATTTACTTATTCTTCTTTATTTTCTTTGTTCCCGTGGAAGAAGGGTTTTTGATGTTTTTTTCTCAGCCGAAATCAATGATTTTTTCATTTTTGGAATCCTTAGCGAATGAGGAATCTTTTCTCTCGTGGGAAGCTTTGAACAAAAATAAGCCGCTAGCGGCAAGGCGAAGCCCATGTTTTTAGGTGAAGAGGTGAGATTTCACCTGTTTTTATGGTAGCACTGAAATAAAATTTTGTTATCAGTTATTTTATCATCATTTTATTAAGTTCATCTTTAGTTAATAATTTGAATGGATTCGCTAATGTTCCACCTTGAGTCACAACACCTGCCCCGGCTAATTGTGAAGAACCTGGGATAAGTACTCCATGAAATGATTTCATTGGTATCATTAATTAGAAATAGTTGGCTTAATTAATTTGGTCATTTATGATAAAAATAATTGCATAATTTAAATTTTTTTCTTTCTCATTTTCTCATCCTGTTTGGTTTCAGCAACTTTTCAAGTTGTTGTCTTGTCAGTAACTATTAATTTTAACTTTGGATCAAATATTGGTTTCATCTTTATCTCTTCAATAACACCATATGGTAGAATCTTCATTTATACTAAAATAAAAATTTGAATTATGCCGTTCGCTCTTTTGGAGCTCAGGACTTTCATGATTTCTTCGTAAATTTCCTTAAGACTTCTTGTAATGAGCGTAAATGACCCAAAAATAATGTTTAGGGTAGAAGGTTAGATCTAACCTCTTTTCTAACCTCTTTTCTAACCTCATGAATTTTCATGAATTTTCATGATTTCTTCGTAAATTTCCTTAAGACTTCTTCGTAATGAGCGTAAATGACCCAAAAATAATGTTTAGGGTAGAAGGTTAGATCTAACCTCTTTTCTAACCTCTTTTCTAACCTCATGAATTTTCATGAATTTTCATGATTTCTTCGTAAATTTCCTTAAGACTTCTCGTAATGAGCGTAAATGACCCAAAAATAATGTTTAGGGTAGAAGGTTAGATCTAACCTCTTTTCTAACCTCTTTTCTAACCTCATGAATTTTCATGAATTTTCATGAATTTTCATGAATTTTCATGATTTCTTCGTAAATTTCCTTAAGATAGAATAAATAAAATTAGTTTTATTTTATTATATTTTTTTATATTTTGTATGTAAGAACAGAAATGTCAACAATCAGCAACAACAACAATCGACAACAACAATTCAAGCCACGAACGTGGGACTTGTCCACAACTGTACAGCACCAAACTCGTTAGTTATGAATCCTACGTCAATGTTAGTAGAGATGAAAAACTTCATTCCTTCTTCATATACTTTTGAAACAAAAATCCAGAAGATAAAGCAAGAACTGTTAACAAGTAATTTAGACTGTAGTGCGAAAGATGAAACAAAATGAAGAATATCTTATGAAAATGCAGGACATTTATTGACCATTTGCCTAAACTACCTGAAATCCAACAACAAAACTAACTAACTATCCTGAATTCGACGAAATTGAAGTGAAACCAACTGACTCAGTAGAAATAAAGAAGTTCATACGAAAGGTAAATTATGAATTCCTTGGTTTCATTGCAACCATAAAGTTATGAACAAAGATTGCGATATGGTATATAAGAACATCTCTGACATATATAAAATCTGAAGAATTTAAGACATACGACAACATTGTTTCATTAGCTGCAAAATGTGTATGGCAGATAAGAGATAAAGATAGAAGGGGGTAAAATATGGAACGAACAAATAAAACCAACAGCTTTTGAGTTAAAGAAAAC